AAGAACAAACTAGCTGGATGAACCGAATGACCACCTTTTATTGTAACCATTATTATTATCTTGAGCTATATACTGTATATTACAGCTCCATTTGGGCCAGACCTTACTAAGGAATGCAGTTGTGAATAGAAGCCATTTTAGATATAAAGAACAGTAGATGCCACCATATTTATGACAATGTTGTTTACATTACTACTACATTCCAAACCTTACACAAATATATGTAATTGCTTCTGACTAACAGAAAGCTAGTACTTCAGGGATAGAAGACAAGTAGCCAAGAATGGGAACTAAAGCAAAACTGATATCCATGCATCCATTTGCAGTCTGCTTTTCCTGGTGAGGCTAACGGCATGAATAATATTTGTACATTGAAAATATATTATTTGTACATAGAAAGTTCCCCATTCATTAAGGAAAAAAAAAAACACAGATAGAAAATCAGTTTCAAAGCAAACAGATTCGATTCCTGTAAAATCTAATTGATACTGTTAGGATTCAGTGGGGAAAAGGCACAGCAGTAAATTATTCAAAACATAGAACATTTATTATAAATGTGTAAAAAATGTATACAAATTATACAACAGGTCTTAATGTTTTTGGAATTTAACTGTAGGGCACTATACAAAATGTAGAAGGACTTGAGAGCCATGATTAAGAATAGATACTGTATTTAAAAACAGCAGGCATATTGGCCAAAATAATCAACTACACATTTCTTCTTCTTTCTCATATAAATCTTTAATTCTGTGAATAAGCGAAAGAATCCTATGCTGATTTCTGTCTGTACAATCTGTATTTTTTAGATCTATGGGTTATTAGACTGGGTATGAATTTGCTTGTCATGTACTGTATAACATGCACCCATTTCTTATGCTCACAATGTCAATCAAATTCTTTTGTAAAAAATACAAAAATTATCAAATAAATGATCTTGTGTTCAAGGGGATATATTGGCAATTCGAATTTATACAGCACAAGTTTTAGGGAGCTCCAGCAGCATTCATATATTAGGAGTAAGGCATTTCTGAAGTCACCAAGAAGCATTACTCACTGCACTAGCTCTGAGCAGAACATTTGCCTGGAGGGACGCTGGGACAGGTTTAGCTTGGTTAGACAAATTGTTGTGACACAGTTAGAAAAGTAATATATTTAATTTAACCTTAAATATGATAAATGTTGAACATGAAAGAAGGCTGCTTCAGTTTTTTTATTTGGTGATTTAGTATGATGACTACTGGACAGGGCGTTTCAGTTATCTGGATTGTTTTGAGTTTGGTTACTCCAATATATATTTTTGTGTATGTTTGGATTAAGAACTGGTTAATGGATAGAACACAAAGAGTGGAGAAGCGCAGAAAAATACTATAAGTCACTGCTTAGTCACGTATATATATAGTCACCGCTTTTCTTAATTCATATTCGTTAATCTTACTCTGGCATAGTTGCAGCTGATGTCCACAGATGATAACAAAATAAAAAAAAATATCAGCAATAAAAAGATTAGAAAACACCATAGAAGAAGAAAAGGGAATTCAAAAAGATTTAGATAGAATTCAAGACTGGGAACACATCTGCTTGATAATATTTTATAATTGAATAAGGAAACATTAAACTTGAAAAAGCTACCTATGGAAAAAAACACCTAAGAGCCATACTGTATCCTTCACACGGTCTAGAGAATGTGGGGAAGCTATATAAAAGGCAAACAGAAAGCTGGAATACCTCATCAAAAGTGTAGAATTGAATTCAAACAACAAGGTTAAACCAAACTGAAACGCAGACGACAACAAGGAGACGGGATTCAAGTAGGAAACTACAGGTAAATGAATTTGAAACCAAGAAGAGGTGGTGCTTCTTTACAAAAAGGCTTGGGAAAGTATGGATGACGCTACCCAGCTGTGTTGTTGAAGATCTTCATACCAATTCTCCACCCAACAGCTTAACTGGGAATGAAGGCTCCTCTTGTTTGTAACCCTGTTCTTCCTATGACTCCTCTGTGGGACTCTCGGGTATTTGCTTAGTTCAATTTTTAACATTTTCATCCGTATCTTCCTCTACAAGGGGTCTTCTCTCCTTTCTCAAATGCCGACAGTCCATGTTCTGGCAAATATTACCGTGTTCAGTTTTTATGACGTCGCCTGTGTCGTACTGTAGTTTGAGTCACACACACTTTATTTGTGTGACATACAATCTGCTCATACTGAAGTCAGAAATACTGAAAGTCTAATCACCTCTACCTTCCAGGGTGAAAGGTTTTCACCATAAATAGTGATTTACATACTTTATTAGTGTGATTGGAATGTAATGCTTACAATACTTGATTGGTTAAATGTTCTGAGTACATATTTGTGAAATTGTATATATTGGAAACATTATTGAAATCATTCATGCACAATTGTTTGGATAACAAATTTGATGTACTTGATCATGAAGTGTCTAATGAACATTCCTTATTTAATTTACTGTACCTATTACATGTTTGCTAATACATACCTGATACCTACAGGCATTGCATGATACACAAATACAAGCACAAAACCATTTTCAGTTTAGTTTGTGCAAACAATCATCAAAAGCGAGAGTGTCTAGAGCCGAGTTAATCCAGTGTAAGGTAATATTCTTTAAAAATATTTAATTGTTTTGCAAGACGGAAAACAATGAAGGAAAACCACAGCTTACGTGGAACTGCGTTTCAATAGACATTTCTGGCCCTTTCCCACCTCGGGTCCCGTATTGTTGTGACTGGAAAAGGCAGTGCATGACAAGTGTAAATGCCAGCTTTTGAGCAAACAAAATGTGGCAAGAAATCCTTAATGTACGAAGAAGCATTCTTTTCTGTTTCCATGGATATGGTCAAAACTTACGTAGGTGGAGCATTGATTTTCTTGCTTAATTTGTGGCTAATCGGAAATCTGTAAATTAAAATGTTGTTTAAATGAATAGTGTTATATTTTTTTCAAGCATTTCATCAACAAACCCTTACTTAACTAAACATATTATTTTGTTCAAACAGTGAAACTTTGATTGGCAGATGGGATCATCATAAAATGGATTAGTATTACCAGTTACTGATTCTGACACAATGGAAGTCCAAAGGGAAGCAGTTTGATTTTCATTTGCATTTACATAAACTGACACTTCTGCTGTCATAATTAAGTTGTGCCATTTTTATTGCTGCAGATATGAACTCCCTGTACTAACATATAAAACAGAATAACACAAGAAGAGGGCAAAGGAGTTTGTTGTGTGGAACCTAGGAAAAAAGTGTTCCTAGACAATTATGCCCCCTGTTGGATGCAGCTTCATTATGTTTCATCCTCCATTTTATTTCAGATACAGAAAAAATACTGAAATATTACAATCAAAAGATGTGATATAATCATGTAAGTCTGTGTCCATTAAATGGCATTCACAAGTCACAAGTGCTATATGCATCCATGTTTTAAAACCTCGCTATGTCACCTAGATCTAAGGTTATATTTTGTTTTTTATAGAAACAAGTAAAGGTTTATTCCATGCTGAAAAGAGAAGAAAAGAAACACAACGTTTCGGCTCTGTAGCCTCCTTTGGGTGGGCAGCCATTCACACCCAAAAAGTTATGTTTCTTCTCTTCTCTCTTCAGGATGGAATAAACCTTTAGTGCGGTGACTCTGTGGCTAAGGATCTGGTTGCCGGTTCGTATCCCGCGGCCGGGAGAGGAATCCTACTCCGTTGGGCCCCTGAGCAAGGCCCTTAACCCCAACTGCTCCAGAGGCACCATATAAATGACCCTGCGCTCTGACCCCCAGCTTCTCTCCCTGTCTGTGTGTCACAGGGAGAGCAAGCTGGGGTATGTGAAAAGAAAAATTCCTAATACAACAAATTGTATATGGCCAATAAAGTGATCTTATCTTGCTCCTTTGCAGCCTACACATGCTGATACAGCTACCTACTTGAACTACTTTTTTTTTCATTCTTTATTTTCCTCCTTATCTGTCTTAGAAGCAGAGTGGAAGGCTTTTATGTATTAACACCTACTTGTTAATACATGTACCCTAGTCATGTTCACTGTTCCGTATCCAGAGACGGACTGATTCATTCAGCGCCTGTGGCTTGGTGGCAGAGAGGTCAGAATGTGCTACAGAGCACACCGCCCCCTTTTCATCTTCGCTAACTCACAAGAGGAGACAAATCCTCTAATTCCTCGTAATATTCTCAGGCTAAGGAAAGTCACGTCTTTTTCATGTTAAAAAAATTATTACAAAAACAGTCAATAACTTTAAAATAGGAGAAACAGAAATATTACACATACTAGAAGCTCTTAAGATTAACAAATTTCCAGGTTCCTGATTGTGTAAGTAATGTAAAGAAATAGGAGATGTTATTCATAGGCCTTCCAGTAGCCTTTTGAGACAAGTTATTCCTATGAACTGGAACACTGCTAATATAGCAGACATCCACAAAAATGTAGTCAAAACTACTTCTCTTAGATGTACGATTTTTTCAAAATGATCATTTATTTTTTTCTAATTAAATCGTTAAAATATTTGGGTTACTTAGTAAAACTTTACAACTTCATTGTTTATTTGATAGCTTTTTGTAGCACTAACTCAGCTCTCATGTTTCAGCTTGAAATAACTTTTTGTAAGATGATAGCACATCAGTCAATTCAGTGCTTTCACGATATCGCATTTTAAAAACAGCAAAAACATTTGTTATTTTACCTATATCGATTATTATAATTATAATAATAATTTTGCATCATGCAAGGAAAGACATGCTAAAGAAATCAAAATATCAAGCAATCTTTTACCCTAAGCTTCAAGTTATTGTTAAGAAACGAAGTTTATCAAATATGATGCATGGTACCTTTTTATGTAACAAAACACATTTACATAATGCATGCATCTATTTGGTTATCTTAGCAGTGTTGCTTCCTCTAGGACTGGCTGCTGTTTCAACTCTCCCACTCACCGGCACGTGGTCACATTTGTGTGAAGGTTTTCCTTTGTCACATGATCTTCAGCAGCTTCAGTCACGTGAAAGGCAAAAACAACGAGAAGAGGAAGTGAAGATCACAAGGATTGATGCTTATTGAGGCTTGCAGGAATAACACTGGTAGGGAAATAAATTTAATTATGATGTTTTTTTAATAAATCTTTTAATTTGACCACCGAAAAAAGCATGCTCTTACTAACCAAGAGTAGAGAAAATTTTGTTCACAGGCGTGTATTAGGCGTCGTATAAGCCTTTAATCAATAATTGATCTATTGAAGTTGGTGATGGCATGTTTCATGTCTCTGACGAAATGAAAAATGATGGAAAACCTGTCATTTACGCCACTAGTTTTTTTATTGATCTGTGCTGGATTTACTAGATTTGTGCTGTTTTCCTATAACTGAATATCTAAATACTACTAGTTTATCTAATAAAAAAGTTAACATTGACTCATTCGAGAATGAACCGCTGCGATCTCTGATGATAATTCCTTTCCCCGTTTATTTTAAATTGAAAATGCACTTGCACCATCTACTCTGGCGCCGTCAATGAAAACTGAATTGTTTCTGCACGGTTTCCCTGTTTTCACAGCGTCAGGACGCTATGGGGTCTGCGGTGGAGAGGACTGACGAACTCGTGAAGGAGTATTTGATATACCGTGGTTTTACAAGCACTCTGAAACACCTAGATGCTGAAATCAAAGCCGACAGAGAAAAGGGATTCCGAGTAGGTTGACCTTAAAGTATTTGCAGCTGACTGCCTTATCTGAAATGTTGGTTTTGGACGCGGTCGTTGTTACGTGAACTTTGGGAGCACCACAAACAGTGAAATAATTGTCTTAAAAGGCAGCTTGCAGTGGAATAAATGTTGATACAATGCTCTCGTAGTAAAATGTAGAGTTTTAAAAGACGCCATTCACATGTACTGCTCGGCGTCTTTAGGATCTAACCTGTCTCTGAAGTAAGTAATTTAATGACACAAATCCATACCTTACAAGAATACAACCATCGAAGTAAGCCGTAATTTCGTGGCTGTAATAGCTGTTTTAGATCCCGTTGTTCAGTCAGTGCACATCCATTCTGGAGTTCTTTGCCGTGTTCGGGAAGAATTCGAGCTGTGGTTCTTCCTTGTATTTTTATTGTATGCCTACTCGTGGAATATCGGAACGAGTGACTGAGGCTGTCGGCTCTTGCGCAGGTGGATAAAATCATTGACCAGCTCCAACAGTTCGTGCAGAGCTATGATCTCGCTGCGCTGCGAGAGTACTGGGGGTACTTGGATCGCCGCCTCTTCAGCCGACTGGAGGATATCTACCGCCCGACTGTGAACAAGCTAAGGACCAGCCTCTTCCGTTACTACCTTGTCTACACGGTGCAGGTACTGTTTCTCCTCAGCACAAGGTTCAGTCCTTAATGTGCATGAACATCTTGCTGATAACTCCTGTAACACAAATGTGAATAATTTCCCCTACTACTATTGCTACAGTGCATACTATGTTGTAGTAGTGATTCTTACAAGTAAGTGGTCATCATTCTGGTAAATTTCTGAATGTATACTTCGAGTTCTAAAATAATGTACCTAGTTCCAACTGTGGTATCATTTAGAAGACAGGTTATTCTATTTGACATGGTTATTGACTGGATGTACTGTAATGATTTAAGTGTTGATTATAAAATTGACGGTTTCCCCTATGCCGTGTGTATCTTGGTATTGGAACCTTACCTGTGTACTATATGTGGGTTTTTGCTCATATTGTTTGATTTTTCACATTATGCACAAAAAGTAAACCTTCCTCAGCTGTGCAGGATGAACCACGCTAGATCTGTGTGTGCAATGGGAAAACACTAAGTGCAGAGATTTTAAACATTGAGAAAGTATTGAGCATCACAGAAGGCAAAGGGGGGATACATGATCATGTTATTTCAATAATGTCAGTTTAACCCTTCTGGTGTAGAAAAATGCTTCGAGCTGCCTTAATTTTGTGACTGTCGCTGGTGTGATGTCTTTCTGGGACTTCATTGCGTCTCTCGTGTCTCTCGATTTCTTTTGCTCTTCCAGTCTAACCGCCTTGAGAAAACGCAGGAGTTTTTTCAGAAGCAGGCGGTGGAGCTGCAGGGCCAGGCAGAATGGCGTGATTGGTTCGTCCTTCCCTTTATCCCCACCCCTGAGCAGAACCCCACGTTTGCCCCCTACTTCTCCCGCCAGTGGGCTGACACCTTCCTGGTTTCTCTGCACAACTTCCTCAGTGTGCTCTTCCAGTGTATGCATATCCTTTTACCCCCAGCTGGCATGGTACCGTGCAGTGACTTTCCCTCACGGGCGTGTTCACGATACGAATGACATGCTCCACTACTTACAAGACGGACATTTCATTTATTGGTTTTCTTAAAGAATTTGAGCAGATTGTCATTTTATTAATACGTTGTCTTAGTTTTGCATTTGATCTGTGCAAGCTCCATGTCTCTTATATAGACAATTAAAATTAGTTATAGCATTTTAGATGTCATTTTTTAAAAAATATTTATCTGTTTTATGAAAAATAGAGGTCACAAAACAACATTGTCATGACAACATTGGTTTTAACAACATTGTTAACAACTTGATCCATACACCCACAACCTTTTAGGTAAAGAAGTGCCAGCTATTCTCAGTTTTAAAAGCCCTTCCCTTTTAATGTTTTCGACCTGTGTCCTTTGTTTGTGTCTCACTGTTCATTCTAAAAAAAATCTGCTGGGTTAACTTTATCAATGCCTTTGAGGATTTTGAATATTTGAATGTAATATCTCAACGATCAGACTATTTTGATTTTTTTATATGGAATTTGATAATTCAATTATATGGATGATAAGTGCTATACACTTTGAGAAATTAGTTACGTTTACAGTTTCATATTTTTTTCAATAAAACTCCTCATGGAGAACTCATTTGGCAAAGCAGCTTCAAAATTCACGCATCAACAGGCCAAATGAGCATGAAAAGAAACCTCTCACTTATAACTGCAGTAAACTCACATTTATCGTGGAAATGGCATCTTTTTGTGGCAGATTCACTGAAATTTTATTGAATAGACATGACATGGATAGATTCATATTTCCGATTTGTCAATCATAAGGTTGATCAGCTGTAGCGCCTGCTTTGATTGTTACAGGCGAGTAGCATGTGTGTCATCCACAAAAAAAGTACATGCTGCATATCTGTGATGCATGCTTTGCACAAGATTTCTAAAAGTGCCTGTTCACTGGTCTTTGAGCCTTTGATAAAAGTAAAACTGCACTGATGTAGTTTACCGTATGACATACCAAGGACATAAAGGCATTGTTCTTTGTGAGGTACTGTATATAGTTGTTTCCCTTCCTTTCTGGATTTTTCACCATGTTTGACATTTAACAGGTTAGAACGCCTATCACCTGTGGCAAAATAAGCCGTCGCATGAGTTTATCACCATCTGTCCTCGATAATCAAAATGATGCCAAGCAGATTTAATCAATAACCCAAATCTGTATACTTCACTTTTCTATAAAAAATAGTTTACACGTATAAATAGAGTAAGAAGTTTTGGATATTTAGTATGTATTGCGACTTTGGGAAGTTCTGGGTTTGAGTCCTTGACCCACTCACCCCTGCCAGTGCTCCTGAGTTTTGATGCGGAGGTGCAGAGGAATGGTGCCATTCAAGAGGAGAACGAGCTGCTGCGTCAGACGGTAAGGAAGTTGGGCTGGACAGTTGTGCAGACCATGGGAGATCCCATGTGTGCTTCACGCTCATTTCAGAATCTGATTCTGAGTGAAACTAGTTTGGTAGTCCTCTGTGGAGACTGGTCAGAATGACAGAGCTAGCAAACATTTGGAAACCATGTATTAAAACACCTAACTTAAACGTTTTTGATTTCCATGGATAGGCTGTTAAACTCATAGGTAGTCTTAAATATAGACATTTCCTATTGAGTGCTGTATGTAATAAATTATCTGTTGTGGATGGGTAAACGTTGAGATGCCAGATCATTTGTAACCACTGGTCAGTGACACTAGGTCAGTGGTTTCCACTGGATAATGGCAGTGTGGCAAACTGGGTGAGACTGACAGTGAGATTGCCCTTTTCCAACTCTACTGAAGCAGAGCTGGTGTGCTTAGCTGGTAGACATTTCTCCCATGTTTTAGCTGCATCTTAAGTATACCTCATCTGTCACAGTGTAGTGACGCATTGGCAAGCTGAAAAACAGGTAATGTTTTACTTGAATTAGACAAAACCGCTGTTGTGATCCTTCATAAACATTACACAGCACAATATAGCAGAATTGGAATGATTTATGTGGCCTTTTTTTTGTAATTGCCTTTCCACAATATGATGATTAGCAATCATTATAATCTGTTGTGGATCATTATGTATTACATGAGGCAGGAGACAGATCTAATTTAAAGAGATGAGGCATCTGCCATTAGCTGACATTAAGGAATGAAAAAAAAAACAATCCTAAACCCTGCTTGTTTGTGTTCAAAGTGCAAAGAGAATATAGATTCGGGGTTTGAGTGTACTGTATGTACACAGCCCATCTGGAGCAAGTCTAGGTGATAAGCGTCATATACTGTAGGTGGCAGGGGCATTGTGGCATAACTTTGGTCTTTTCTCCTCCTCTTTACAGGTGTTTGCATTGCAGGCTGAACAGCCGCGGCAGAAAAGAGATGAGGATGTGGTGCATCACAAACTGCCCTCTTACGTACAGAACATGGACCGCCTGGGAGACAGTGAGCTGTGAGGATGGGAACTGGCTTCATAAATGGAAAAACCCAGGAAAGGGGGGGGGAGCTATGATGAATAGAGGAAAAAAATGTTGACGTTTACTACCTTTTCCTCTACATATGTGAAGGCTGGATTACATGACAAATAAGGAAACGTATTTTTCACTTAAATGTTTGCACTTGTCACTGGTTCTGCATGAACTCATGTACTTCCTATGGGTAAAAAGAAACTGTTAGTATGCCTTGCTTAAAAAATGTCAACTTGTTTTGTGAGCTCAATCGCAGACTGGTACTGAACTTGTCCAACTTGCAGTTTCTGTATTGGAGGTTAAAATGCCAAAATATATCATTGTAATCGTTGTACAGATAACACTAAGTAGAAAAAATCTGATTTTGTCCTTATAGTTTTTGCTTCATAAGCATCTTTCCTTTGACAAAGAATATGGCTGAAAACTCCCTCATGTAGTCATGGATAAGAACTGAAGTGAACCTTGAAGGTCAGGAGGTTCCCTCCGCTTTCCTTAGGTGCCAGTTGACTTGCTGAGCCCGAGTCCCTCAGTAAAAGCCGGAAGAATTCACGGTTTTCAGTAAACGACGTTCATTTTTATGCAGAAAATGGCGGTATAATTTTAAGTTTACTCCACGCAACCTTGAGCTGACAACGTGAATGAGGCTGTCTGATCGTGCAGGGAAAGCCAAGGGCCTTTTTACATCTCAAAGTACATACATTGCCCTGCAGCCATTTCAGGCACTTCCCTCGATCACCGATGAACCAGACGTATTATGAGCACTTTCAAAAACGAAGAACTTTCTCAGTAGCTGGCGTACCTTCGTTGTTTTTTCTGAAGGGATTTGGTGTCTAGCCAGCGGAGCATTAGCCTAGCCAGCCAGCCGCGAGGGAGCTCTTTCCTCTCTACGTTCCTCCCTCAAGGAAAGCGGGCACCTGGCAGGACACCCCAGGGAGCTGGGTCCTCGCCAACACAGGCCTCCATGGGGCGGAGGGACACCACAGCCAGTCAAGTAAGTGTGAGCTTTGTTTTGCAGTTCAGTCTTATTACAGCACACCGTTGAGTGCTGCTAAAATTACATTAACCACGGTATTGTTTTTAGCATAACAGAAGAGTAAATTTGTTACTAATATTTAAGGATTTGACGTTAAGAGCTGTTGCTACATGAGACATTTTGCTCTCGGTCCCCATCTTCACTTGGTCTTTCTCACCTCTTCCTTTCCAAGGAAGAAGACAATATCCTTCACTGTTAATATTATTTGAAAATCACTGCTCTTCAGAATTGTGTTCAATACACAGACTTTTAAAAAACTTGAGAAAATGGTGTAAACCCTTTGTCTTTTAATGTTTCCTTTAAAAGCAAATTTGGTTGCAGAAGCAGAAGTGTGCCTTGTTTCTACTTTCAATTGTTATACCAATAGGAGTAAAATAATAGCTTAGCAGAATTTATGAAAGGGGTCTTTATGATAAGTGTTTCGTATTTCAGGCTTTGAAATCAAAGGAGGCCCTGACATCTAAGGATTCAAAGGCAGGGCCAAGTGGAGCAGGAACAAATGACCAGGCTTCTGGTCACCCTCGACAGAGACGACACCAGGAGCATGAGAAGGAAAGAAAAGAGCTGCTCTCTAAACCTCCAGCTCAGGTGACCAGCTTACAAGCACCTTTACTTACTGGTTATTGTGAACTGTCCAGGAATCCTGTCTGTGTGCTAAAACACTGACTAGAGAACAAAAATATAAATTCCTCCTGGTCTAGGCTCTATATCCCAGAGCACATGGGTTCCACTGCAGTCTGCACAGTTATTCTTCTTAAATGACTAGTTTGGTTTGTGACATCCATTGCCTTGCATATAAAATTTTTGTCAGAATTAAGCTGATTGTTCATGCCACAGTGTTTCTGCATTAAGCAAGCGGTCTGCTTGGCCTTGTTATCCTGGGTTCAGTGCCCACATTACTGCTGTTGATTAGATTTATTGAGTGACAGAGTCTACCAATAGAACCATTGATCTAGCTGATCATCAAGTCATTATGCTATGACTGATTACATTATAATCAATCATCATCAGTCAGAGTAATTAAGTCAATTCTATGAATTGGCTTCATCACTTTGCTCTCCTCCCCACTGATAGCTGATGTGTGGTGAGCGTTCTGGTGCACTATGGCTGCCGTCGCATCATCCAGGTGGGGCTGCACATTGGTGGTCGTGGAGGGGAGTCCCCATTACCTGTAAAGCTCTTTGAGTGGAGTGTCCAGAAAAGTGCTATATAAGTGTAAGCAGTTGTTATTATTATTATAAGTGACCTGGTGATTGATGTTCTCACATGGGATAACAGGGCAGCAGGATCTGCTCAGGTATCTAACTTCTAAATTTACAGTATGGTGAATTACTACAAACTTTCTGTCCATCAGGGCTTTGAGAAGAGAGGCGAGAGTTCAGATGCAGAACCACACCCTGATGACCAGACGGATTCACCGACCAATCAAATGCGGGCCTCTGGGGAGGGGAGTGGTTCGGTGGAACAGCCCTTCATTAAGCTGAGCCAAGAGGAGTATGGAGAGCACCACTCTTCCATCATGCACTGCAGGTGGGCTCCAAAGTTATGTTTCTTCCTCAAAAATGACTGATTTTTTTTACTTATGAAAGGATTGGTATGCATAATATTTATTGAACATGGTTAATTGTGACTGTATTGCTTAGTTTGTTTTTACGAGAGTGATTTTCAAGCTAGCTTTGCAGTTATTTGATAATTAGGTTACAACTGGCCTACTGTTTTCATGTTTTTCTTTTTGATTCAGTAAAGAATGTTTAGTTTCTGGTGATATGCAAAATTCTATTTTAAACATTTTTGCGGCTCTTTGTTCACTATAATTGCATACACATGTGAACATTATCTTTCTCTTTCTTTGGGTTTTAGCTATTGCACAGATGCTTTTCGTGGTGTTAAAATATCCCATCTCTTTTTTGTCATATCAGTCTGCCTGATCTCCCTCTTTCCCCTGGTTTGTGATTTTTTGTTCTTGGTCCCTATCTTAGGGTTGACTGCTCTGGGAGGAGGGTGGCAAGTCTTGATATCGATGGTGTCATCAAGGTCTGGTCCTTTAACCCCATAATGCAAACCAAGGCCACAATCATGTCCAAGTCTCCTCTTCTGTCACTGGAATGGGCCACCAAGCCAGATAGACTGGTAATTGTGTAGCAGTGTTTTCTTTTCAGTCAGATTATCATCTTAAGTGAGCTTCTTTATTGAGACAATCATAACATAGAGGCAACAAGACACCACAAAAACAGTGTTAAATAAACAGTGTTCAGATTGGCCAGGGTGTGACAATTTTTGTCCAGGAGGCCTGCCTGGTCTGTATGCTAAAGTGGGAAACCCTGAATATATACTGTATGTCCATGTACAGACAAGTTTATATGAACAGTTATAGAAATATATGTGCTGCAGTAAACTATAGAGGAATCGTTATAGCAGCAGATGTTAGTCTTTACTGCGTGATGTCTCTATCAATGTATTTATTAATTGTATATTTATCTATCAGTGTCATATTAATAGTGTTGTTGATTTTTAAAAAATCAAACCTCCACTGTAGTGAATAAAACATATTTTCATTTACTTCTGCCCAGGGTGTTGTATGTTGCCCAGGTTTTCATTCATTATAACCACAAGCACTGATGTAATTATAATTTTCTTTAACATATGGTATAATATTTGAATTCACATGTACTACTTTATTGTTATGTAGTATAGCTGTAGCAGAATGTCCGACATTAAAAAGTAAACACTGGTTTGTTCTAAATCCTCATTTTTAAAGAGAATTACCCTGCATCATTTTAAATTGCAAGTGAGAATGAGCTATGCATACAGTATAGATTTTTGGGAGTGGCAGTAACAGTACAGTCGCTTTATTTCCAGTGTCATCTGTGTGTGTACTTTTTTTCAGCTGTTGCTGGGAAGTGGTGTAGGGACAGTGCGACTATATGACACAGAAGCCAAGAAGAACCTGTATGAAATGACAATCGATGACCTGCATCCAAGGTGGGCTTTTAAGTCAGGAAGTGCCGTTTAGCATTTATTGCACCACCTAGAACTCGATTAATGTATTTTTTTAACATTTACACAAGCTCCGTAATTGCTAATTTTTGGAAATGAAGTGAGAGTGTGTATGGCCTTACTCTGAGCACACAACAGGCCAGTTATTTAATCTGAGGCTATAGCAATGACATGAGACATGAAACAGAGCTTATCCACTACGCCCCCTTCCTGTCAAGAATGGGTTTTTCACCAGGTGCTGTTCCTCTAATTACTGACCCCCAACAGGCTGCAAAGTGAGGGTAGCAACCAAAAGGAGTGATAAAGAAGACATTGCAGCACATTCATTAAGTTGCGATTTAATTAAAGAAGAAGCCAGCTGATACTCACTGCTCCTTTCCATCACCTGCTGTTCAGGATCCTCTCCCTGGCCTGCAGCCCCAGTGGGACCTCGTTCGTTTGCTCAGCAGCCGCTCACGGCCCTCGGTCGGGAAGTCTGCCTGACAGCGGGGGGAGAGCCGCGGCCCCCGTCTCCGGACAGCTGCTGCTGTGGGACACCAAGACCGTCAAACAGCAGGTACTGGCCTGACGGTGATGAGGGGCTGACCGCAGCCTGACCAGGCCTTTCAAAACCGGTTCCCACGTCAGGGTGGAGGGCTGGACTGGCTTCTGTCACTTCCATCACACAGTCGCAGCTGAAAGTTGACTCCTTACAGAACACGTTTTGAAACCGAGATCCAGCATTGTTTTCTGTCATGGAAGAACGTCTTCGGAGAATGGTTTTTAAATGTAGATGAAGACATTGTACACACAATTTTTCATTTTAGTGGCTGTATTGTTCTTCAGTTATCCTCCCTTGGCTCCAGTTTCCTCTTGAGCCTGGGCCAGTTTGCAAGCTAGCGAATGTTTTTAGAATTGTTAAAGATTCAAACTTGTGTGGAGTGGCTCGGATTAAATCAAGACGGGGGCTTTCAGGGAAAGGAATCCTTATGTATTGATTTTGTGAATTGGATTGATTTTAGCTCCAGTTTTCACTTGAGCCTGGGCCAGTGGCAATAAACTGTACAGCCTTTAACCACAATGGGAACCTGCTGGTAACGGGAGCAGCAGATGGCATAATTCGCCTGTTTGGTAAGTAGTATTTCTTCTGCCTCTATGCTTCATATTGTAACATCTGCACCCTTTAGAAAGTGAAGAGCATTCTGAGTTTTAGAATTGCATGACCGATTCAAGCCCCAGATTTGTAGCCCTGCTAAAGCACATCCATGCTAACATGCGAACACCCTTGCTAAAGTATTACATACAACTAAATAAAAATGTTGAACGTATAAATCCTGATATATAAAGTTGCAAACAAAGTACTTTACATTTGAAGGTCTGGGGAGTTGTGTTGTATTTGAGCTTTTGCACAATAGCCTATTCAGGTGAAGGCAGCTCTGTGTATCCCTGTCTGTTGTGGCTGTAGTTCTGAGTGAGACTCCCCTCTATTTCTCCAGACATGCAGCGGTATGAGAGTGCAATGAGCTGGAAGGCCCATGATGGAGAGGTGTACTCTGTGGAGTTCAGCTATGATGAGAACACGGTCTTCAGCATTGGCGAAGATGGCAAGGTGAGAATACCTCGCAGAGCTGAGCAAGCCTGATTAAAATCAAATTCACTGCTGTTTTTCTGTTTTTGACGTGCTGGTGTATTGCTTATCCAATTATATGCGTCGTGTGTAATGATTTGTTCTTCGTTTCAGTTGGTTTGAAGTGCTAATTCCCTATTCAGCATGAATAAAATGAAAGGGCAGGAACTGGCCAAACATTGATGGTGCATTATAATAATACTTTGTCAATTAAAACAATTTAAGATTCCATTCACTTTAAGCAGGTGATTTAGTGATATAGGAAAAAAATTCCAAATGAGTCATAATTTAAAGTGAAGCTAGCAAACAGGCTAGGGTTACGAAATACCCAGGGGACGTACGCTGACACCGAGTAGGCAACTCTTCTGCCTACAGCCAACTTGTTTATTCAGGGACCCATTAAAGCCCAGTAAAAAAGGGAAATATGTACAATTCACTCCTGTGTTTGGATATCTCTAAACACAAAATATTGTAGTGTTTTCTCGCAATGGATGGGGTTGAAACGGACGTGTACGTTGAATTTGATTCAGTTCTACGATTCAGTTCTGGTTTTGGACTTGAATGCAAGAAATGGATAAAGTTTTTATTCCAGTTGTTTACTGCTCCTGCACTGTGCAGTTTGCCAAGTAAAAATAGCACAGCTGATGTGGCAGAAAATGTCTTGTCGCTCAGGGAAAAATATGCTTTGAACTTTGATTAAAAGAAGCTTAGATTTTTTTTTATTATAATACGTTGATGAATGAGTAACTTTCAAAGAGAGAACTAGTCACCCACTTTATGTGATTTGAAGTGAAAAAGGATTTAAAAGCAACAAGAAGACAATTCCACCCTACTCTGTGGAAACCTGGCCAGCATTTCTGGGGAGCATACTGCTTATTTGTTTTATTATTCATAGAAGCATGAGGAGACTGTGGAGCTTGATTCAGATGTGTTGAGGATAAAACTGTGAGCCTTTTTTTCCCTGCCAAAGTTACCCACCACTGCCAGGATAAAATACCTATGGAAAAGAGTGTTGACTGTTTTGTTTGTAATGAATAAATTTAACTGCAGCAGTTGACTGTATTCTGATTAGAAATATAAATCTTTATTCTTTAGTACTTCAGTCTACAGACTAAAACCAGGTCCCTGAAACTTGGATCCCTGCATCTATGAGTCATCAGAATACAGTGAGAGAGGCACACTTTATTTGTGTTTATTGCACAGCTGTTTCCTGGCTGATGTTCCTGCTACTACTGTTCAGATCATATAACTGGGAGACTGAAGTGGAACCTTATCTCAGCTCTGTCCCCTTGTCTCTCAGTTCATCCAGTGGAATATCCACCGAAGTGGCGTGAAGCAGTCGGAGTATAACCTGCCCCAGGATGCCACTGGACCCTTTGTGCTCTCGGGGTACAGTGGGTACAAGCAGGTGCAGGTTCCCCGTGGGCGGCTTTTTGCTTTTGATTCAGAGGGAAATCACGTGCTCACCTGCTCCAGCACAGGGGGCCTCATCTACAGGGTAAGACCCTCACCTGTGTGAGCATCTGTCAGGGACAAACAGCTGACGTACTCTGTGCACAAATCGTCCTTTAGATGTTTATGCATTTCCAGTTAAAACACAGTTCAGTTTTTGTCACATTTGTTTTAGGTTTCAACGACTGATCAGAAAGTGAATGACATTTTGAGCCTTATGACTCACAAACCACCACTGTGTGCATTATTTATATATTATATTATTTTATATCTGAGGGCTGTATAATTGAAACCTTGAAGATAAGAGGTTTTCTAAATGTTTCTTCAGAAAGTGTGACTTATAAAATCATTTAATTTCACGGGTCGCACTGTCTCTGGTGTGAAAGAAAGTGTTCTCGAAATATCTGATGCAGATCTTTAAGTACAAACGTAGTGCCAGTCTGTACAAGATCATAAGAGGTGAAGGACAGGCTTTTTTCTCTTGGTAATTGTCACCAAGTGCAAGAGGAAGCATGATGGGTGGTAGTATATTTTCAGAAAGACCCCAGACAGGTTGTGGTTTGTTTCTCCCGTTCTGAATTCCACCATATAAGTCTGCTCAATTACAAAAATAGCAAGACTCTTGCCCATCAGGTTTTTTCGGCCTTTTGAGGTGCCTTCATTCCTGTTAACTCACTGTGGGTCAATATTCCAGTACTGGCTCTGAAAGTACAGAGCAGTCATGGCTCACAGACCATATCTAGAAAAGCACAGTCTTTGGGACTGCTGTGCCAACCTGCCTTATGGAATCATAGCTATGTGGAAGGAAGTCTTAAGCATGTGTGTCTGTTTTCTCGCAGCTGAATGAGGGGGAGAGCAGCCTGGCGAGTGTCCTGTCCCTTGGGGGCCACAAAGCACCTGTGGTCACAGTAGACTGGTGCTCTGCCATGGACTGTGGCACCTGCCTCACTGCCTCTATGGATGGAAAGATCAAGCTGAGTACACTGCTGGCACAGAAATCGAGCTAAAGACTGTTTAGCAGCATAAGAACGTAAGCAGTGGGGAATGGCACCCTTTCTCCCTGCTATGGCTTGTAGCATTTTGGCTGCCTTTTTTATACCTCGACGACTGTGATGTTTCCTTATAAAACATTCCGAGTATTGCTTTTTGCTGCCTGCTGTATACTTTTGCAAATTGTAACTTGCTTTTTGTATATAATGTGGATAGTTTCAGTGCATATTTAATGTGTGCATTTAGCAGCGTTTGTAAATTTAGACTTTAAATGACCTGGTTGCCTAAATTAAGCGTAATTGAGTTAAGCATAAGTTGTCTTCACACTCTCAAAAATTCTTTAAGAAATCCAGGTCTAATTGCAGTCTTGGTTAGAACAAAGAGAATGTTTAAGTTTAAGTCTTAAACATATGGATAATCTTATTGACCTTGGTCATAAATAGTAAATTCTAGTTGATTTAAAGCCCAGCATGGTGTTGCAGAGTAGGAAATTCCTTGAAAACAAACTCTTATTAGCATTAAATCCTATCTCTTCTTTAATTGAGGCTTAAGAGGGACAGCAGGAAAATCTCTAGCAAACGGCATAAAACTGAGTTATGTTACTACAGGAAGATGGATCAAAGTACACAGCTGTCATCCTTCAGATAAGATGTTTAATAGATGCCCTGATTACTTACTCATTAAAGATCCCTTCACTGTCCATAAGAGAAGGTTGACTTAGCTAGATCTGACTCTGGGACAGAACAGTCTAGCCTTCCTAAGATTCCTCTTTAATTCAGTTTCTCACTTCTCCGCCTGCTCTGCTTTGTAGTGATGGTGGCCACACATCATGCAAGCAGGTGACGGGCGCTCCCGTATGGAAAAACACTGGATAAATGCAATTCATCCTAATTGCTGCAATTGTTAACCATAAACTGCTCCTGAGGTGAGAAACATGAGTAGATTCCATTCTGATCCCATCAGTGTTTTCACTAATTATAGTTGTTACAGTATTGCATTGTTCTTATCACCTGAATAAACAGCTGACATACATTGCCACTGTCATTTTAATTCTTTATATTCTCTGCTTTTAATTTTTTTGTAAATATTTATTTTTTGTAAATAATTGCCGATTGTCTGGCTTAGACTTCTTAGTATATCAACTTAGTGCTTACGTTGCCCCTGTATGAAATTAACTTTCACTTCAATATCATCCATCTACACATTTTAAGTTACCATTTTATCCTTAGAAGGTCTTGGTGATCCAGAGTAAAGCCTGGCATCTATAAGGCTGAAGGCGGAACTATAGTTCAAAGCATTTATGCATTTATTACACACACATACGGACGGCAATTTGGAGATGGTAGTTAACATGGAGAGCATGTCTTTGGATTACGGAGAGAAACAGGAGAACCTGGAGAAATCCGAAAAACCACCAGTTTATAACTACCCCAGTATCATATTAATCCCAATGAAGCATGTGTCAGAGATGTTTTTCAAGTGGTTTTGGAATGCCATTGACATAAATGACATGCCTGACATGATCTAGTTAGGAACAGCTTTATGTTCTTATGTTCTGATTATGAATGATAGAATTATATATTCAGAATGTGTGCACCCAAAGTTGCTTTATAGGCAACACACCTTATTAACGGTAGTTAAACAGTACTTAAAATTAAATTTAGATCAGCTTGCCTTTCACTGACATCAGCCGGTGGGCACCCAGTAAAAGTGCAGGAAAACCGTAGGCAGTGAGAACCCTAGATTCTACATTTTCTTAACCCTCCTTTTATATTAATACAGTATATTGCCAAAATCTCCATGTCTATGCATTAGGTACACGACTAGTAATAATTGTATCTTTTGTGTTTAACAGAGCAACTACAATAATTAGTTATCAAAACAGTGTTATAATGAGACAGCATCTGCCAAGCACAGGAGCAGACTTTAAATTCTAGAAATCCTAATGGAATATCTACATGACATAGGAGTTTTCCTTTTGAAAGTTTTAGTAACCCGCAAGAGAGACTGCAAAGTCTGTTGATGGTGTATTGAAGTAGAAATAAAAGTCATCGTTCCATTGTAAAATCTGATAATACCCATTAAACATAATTCTGGGGGCTCCTGACAGGGCTTAATGAGTAAAGATGCTGACTCAGACCACAGGTTGTGCTCTGTGTTTTCAAGGCTGTAAATCCAAACCTAGGGCAGTTTGAAAAGTGGGAAAGCTTGGGATTGCTCATCTTCTCACTGCTTTCCTACACCTTACTGGCTGATGTGAGTGAAAGGCAAGCTGATCTTCAAGCCCTTCCTCCACGTTCATCTGCTGTGGAACCTCCAGTGTTTCAGATGGAAAATGGCTGCACAGCTGGTCACGTTGTAGGAGCACATCTATGTGCCTGAAGCTCTCTTGAGTAGATATAGGAGATTTTTCTTTTTTTTCCGGGAGCTGAGTACATTAAAAATTGTCTTGTGCCTGTTTGGGTGTGTATATAATGAAAAATAACTAATGCCAATTCACAATTAAAAAAAATTGCATTTGTGTTTGTTACATTCTATATCAGGTTCATCGTGTCTGAACAATTCTTCTTAAAGTTCCAGAGACAGAGAAGTTCATGTTGTTATGTACCGTTTTCTGCTTAGTGGAAATAATGCACAAGTGATGCATTTATACCGTATTTTATTCCAACTGGAAAAGTGCAGATACAAGGTAAAATGTTTCAAAGCGCTATTTTTCTGTTGATCAAAAGCAGAAGTGAACATAATGAACTGCAAAGTCCAACCTGTAATTGAGCTTCTAAAACCACCAGGCCTTTTCTTTCATTAATCTTATATTCTCTGCTTAACAAGTATAAATACACAAGGAATAAGCAAAGCATTTAGTGCCCACCGCCAGCTGTAATAAAAGCTTGGACTATTAGCAACAGAATAATACAAATGAATGTAGAATTATAAGGACAGGCTGTGCTTATCCAGCTGTGATAGCCAAAAAGGTAATAAAACATTCTTTGATATGATGGTGATAAATCTGATGAAGCTAAAAACAGCACTGTGTAGAAATGACTAATTAAAGTGGGACATTTTGCTATTCTTGTACTGAGATTTTTATCACTCAGAATAGTGCTATGTTATTTGGGAACATTCCATGAAATTAATAGGTGTAGACCTCCTTATCTCTCTTAACATAGCTTTGAAAACCCAAATCACATTCTGGGTTTTCTGGAATTACACTTGGAAATTTAATTTTAAATCACTCGAAATGCAATTAAAAACACAATACTGCATGGCTGTTGATCTTTTCTGCTCTTGTCTATTACTTCAAATGTATTGTTCTAAACAAAGTCTTTAGGGCTCTTTGCAAGTTAGTTTTCATGGCAAGTTAATGTCTTGGGGTTCCTTGAAGGTGGGGATTTTCTGGAATTCATCTTGTTTCTTCAGGAAAAGCTGGGCTAAGATGAAGTCAGCTGTGGACTGGAAGTAAATATTCATATCCAAGGTTTGCAGCTGTGGAAAAAATAGCACATTTTGACGTTTATCACAACTGAATTGTAGAGTAGTTGTGAATGTAGGCAGTATAGAAATTGTGAGACAACTTTAAAAAGCAGAATTTCTTGCCCTCCTATTCTGAATAATAATCTAAATAAGTATTATGGTATTGGTAAGGAGGAAAGAAAATCTGTTAGTCATCAGGATTTCTTTTTCTTATTCACTAATTGATAGTACTGTAAAAATTGTCACACTCAATCATATAAATAAGATATTGTAGGTGGAGCCCAGTGTAATTCTCTTACAAATTACAACTCTTTCCTGAAAAATACTATGATGTCATAAAGTACTATGCTGTAAATGCATCGTGTAAAACGTATGGTGCTATACATATGTTGATTTAAAAAATATATTTTCACTTCATTAACACTGTAGTACCTGACGCAGCTACCCACCTGAACTACTGCAGTAGTTCTAGTTTAGAACCAGCAATAAAATGGCAAGAGAAATATGAATATCAGTGCAACTAATATGTCCGACTGTTCAATACAAAGGGAAAAATAAAATATTTTTTTTACCAATGTGTGTATAATGTGTAATGTACTTTCCTTCGTCTGAATACTGTTTGGTAAGATGTGGTGGATATCAAGAATATGTGCTTTTAACACATGTAACCGTAAATATGACACAGGCTCAGGTACAACAGTTTTTCCTTTTTTTGTAATATAACATGGACAATACAATATAATCTTATAATAAATAAGATATTAATAATACAAGAATGTAATTTTTCTTTTCTTGCACTGCATCTGACCTGTCCATCCCCCACCAAGTCATACAGTTCCCAATTTTGAATTCTCATGTAGCATAACAATACTAAAGGGAATGTAATTTATGACAGGGTTTGTTGTTATCAGCGTATACAGTACTTGCCACCAAAGACAAGACTGCAGGAGATGGCTATTAAATGTTTTTTAACATGTTACAGCTAGATGGGGGTGGCAAACTATTGTCAACATTTCCAGTTCTGGTTTACCTTGGCTAATTAAGTTCTGGGGGAATGATGAAGAGTGATCAACAGTCCAAGGAACAGAGGATAAAAGGCAGAGAGAAGATTGGACAGGGGATGGACAGAAAGACCCGAAGTGAGAGAGGAAACAATGCCAGATGGGAGGTCCAATCAGCCTTTAACACCAGATACGAGTTAAGTATTTGAACCTTATTGCCGTTCTGTTGTTTTTAGGAAACTCTGATTTCCTGAATAAAGAATCCCTCGGGGTAAAAACGGACTCTCCCTCATTAGTGGATGCACTTTTAGGATAAGGAGATACTGTAGGTATCCTGCTCGCTTTGTAGCCTCCAGTAGCTTCTTGTAGCCTTTTATAGTGAGATTTAACTCTACATTGAACTGTTTGGTTTAGAAGGTAGGTTTATAACTATTTTTGGCCTGTATAGGTGTTATGTTGGATCTTTGAAGACTTGGAAGCAGTCTGGAGATTTTTCTGGTTAGTCCGGATGTAGGCATCTCATACAGTATGTCTAGTTTGCATATACTGTAGAGTAATTTGTATGTTGTATTTTGTGTTGTATGTCTTTTAATTAATTTGATTCAAACTGAGTGTGCCTGATTTATTGCTCTTTTCATCAAAGCTGTTGCAGAGAACAAAGATTTTAGGTGACTGTAATTACACCAACTGCTTGGTACAGTATGTTCTTGGCATATATTTTACAATTCGGTGGTGGTTATGATTGTTTTTAATTATTGATTATCGTGCTTAGTCAATTTCCAGTTTTTTTCTGGTAATTTCACAACGTTCTTATCCTCCTATTTGTAAAAATATATGACCAAAATCGCAACATCTAAGCATTGGACATACTATTTTGTGTTTTGACGTACAAAAGTGACAGGGGCATTGCTTTTTAAACCCTTGCATTGCTGCAAGCCATTTAGTATGGATCCTAAGGGAATGATACAATATCTTTCATCTTCCCAGGGGTATGAGAAAGATAAATAGTAGGATTTAGGAGAAGGATGTGTTGAGTTCAATACTCCAGAGATCAACATTCAGTTTTATTGATAAATTCTACTGTCTAAAAAAGGAAATCACTTTCCAAACTGAAAGGGGATTGGATTTCTCTCTGCTCATCACTATAAAAAATAAACCTGAAAAGAGAAAAGGCTGGAAACTTTCTTTTAGAAAACATAACCTCTGGTCCATATTACCTTAAAGGCACACTCTGAAAATATACAAGGGAGTTCCACACATAGAATTCAATACAGTTCATGTAAGACGCTAGAGTAATCAAATGTCTTCTCACCTCATTGCCAGTGCTGTATGCAATGACCAGGAGCAAGTCCTCATCACATGTGCTCTTAATGTAATGGTGAGTGCCGTGAGGGAAGAAAAAGACATCCCCCTTCTCAATGTCAAAGTTAACCACATCCCTGCCAACGACACCAACCTGCAATGGAAACACATTGCATAGGATAAATTTTACACCTAAAATCTTTGCATTCATCATCTACAAAGTACTAGTATATGAATTTCTTGTTCTCTGGATAAATATTAAGAGGTATTTAAATATTCCTGAATATCTTGTTGAACTATTTATGTTCTAAAGATGATATGATTAACTTATCTGTCCCAGATCTCAAGACCATAATAAACACCATCTGTCTTGTATATTTTAAGTTCCTCTTGTGTAGTTATTCCCTTGAGTTGAGGTAGTTTATCAATGTATTAATATTTATCAATATTTTCAGCCACAGTACAAATTACTTTGCGGTCATAATCCTATAACTGACACTCATCTCCAACTACAATTTCAGTAAGTGATTGGAAATTACATAGAGCGCTCTCCTATTTGGAATATGCCAAGATAACTTCGTAAGATAACTAAGCTGAATTAAATTAATTTAAAATACCTCTGAAATTCTATATATCGGCAGTCAGTCATTTTGTAGAGTTACAGCAGAGGTCAGTGCCAAATACCATACTTAGAACCGTGTTTCACTTGCAGTTGAAATATTTGTTTTCATATGTATAAACAGACTAAAACAGAGTTTGGAATGTGGAGAGCAGAATGCAGAAATGCACACAAGAACAAAGTTGATTCAATTATCTGAATCAGCTAACATGCTAGTAATAATATTTAATGTTCTTTGGAAAAGTGGCCATAAGGGTTATAAGGGCTGCAAAACGTATTCCAGAACAACTGCAAACAGCTGCGATACAGCAAACAACTGCAAATGTGATCTGTGAAATACATATGACATGCAGTGGCTCCCATAACTGGCATTAAGACAAATACTCAAAATAACTGTTTTATAAATATCTAATACTTCTGTGCTTGATGTCTCAGCCTGATGTAAAAAGTCAAAAGGGAAGTTTCGCAACACCTGCCTTACTTCTTACTTACCTTCCCACAGCCACTAAGCACATAACCCATTTCATTGGCATTGAAATGATAGTGGGGTTGCCGCATCCCATTAGTGAAGATCCTCATTGTAGCAATGGTTACAGTGTCCTCATGCTGAGAGTCAGTACATGAAATTAAAAGATGAGACAGTTGAATATTCTACTTCCACTGTACTATTCTCCTCTGACTTAATCCGAGCTGAGTTCATGTACTCTACAGTGAAACAAATGTCTTCTAGAGAGGCAATGAAGCATTACGGTGAGGTCAAATGAAGGAAGTCACTCTAAAATATAAAACCTGGAAGATCACATGTAATCCTGTATCAGAATGGGTTATAAGGAGTTACAGGGAAGATGCTTGTAACACACGTGATCAATTAAGAAGGACACTTCAGAGACTTCGGAGTGAGCAGCAATCAAGAAGTCAACTGGATACCCTTTGTGTCACTTCACAATCATTTAACAGCAACTACAGTACTAGTCACTACTAGTACTAGTTTAAATACATACTGAGCAGTTTTGACTGTTACAATTCATGCAAATTAATCTAATAAAATCTCCCTCTCCTTAAATTCTGCACTCTTTTTTTTACACTAGGTTACACATTGTAAAATTTGGTCTTCAGTTCACCATTACATACCATAGACAAATGACCATCGTGAATAATTAATGATTCAAATGTAATCGTATTTTAATTCAAATATCAATTTAATTTAAATGTCATATTGACAGTTACAGCAACATTTTATAGAGAGAATAATTGTAAATAAAATTCAATACATAAGTTCATGAACATAGTGGTGATTAGCAGTTGGTGGGCAGATGAATGGTGCACTTTTTTCATTGTCTTTTAGATTAGATACAGATAAGAAATAATTTATCACATTTAAAAAGCACTCTCAGTTTGCAGTTGTTTTTCATTTGTGTAGACTGCAATTAGTATGTTTTAACTCCTCCATTTTTACACAATTAAATATATCATATATGAGAGATTTATGTTAAAAAGAGCCACATTATCAAACAATAAAAATGAAAATAAAGTGATGCAGAATAATCCCTGTTGCATACAGCTCCCATCTGTTGTATTCATATTGTATGTTCAGTTTTGTCTGAGACAGTAGTCTCATTAAATTAAAAAAGGTACTGTTAACATAAGTGTAATAAATTAGCAGAACAGAAAAAAATGCACTTTAGCTGTTACAGTTTACAGTTTTTTTGCACGTTCACAGAAGCCTTGTTTACATTCTCTGAGGAATTACCTCTCCCCAATAATATTTGTGTTCACCAAATGCAGCTTTGAATATTGTGTAATATATTTTTATTGTTCATAAATATTTGCCTATTTCTTGGAAAGCAGTAAGGATGAATTACTCTGATTATAAGCCTGTCTTACCTCATTGAGAGATTTAGCAAATATAATTTCATTTCTAGAAAGTCCGGTCTGGTCTTTAGTATATCTTGCCCACTGTATGATTCCACCGGGATACCTGTACTGCTTGGAAGCTAAAACCAACAGGATAATTAGTGCCATTTGATCTTCAAAACCCAGTTGAATTTATAAAGACATTTGTTAAAATAAAACATAATTTTACCATATTCCCTTCCCAAAAACTCTATTCTTCAGGGACAGAGGGCAATGTGGTTTTGATTCCATCTGAGTAATTTGCTTTTGAACTGAGATAAGCTTGCTGAAGTGAACTAGATTGCAAGTTCTCAGTGATTTATAACCTCTAAAATCTGAATTACAGCCTTTGAGGACTATATCTGGACATGTTGGCTTGATCTATTTAGTTGTAATTACTCCGGGTCTCAGACCAGTAATGCAGATTTTCCCTCTCAGATGGGCAGTACTTATCAATTTGATTAAACTTTTGTTCTGTTGAAAACCACTAGAAAAATAATATTATTTTCATTGCTCACTAACTGGTTGGGCTATCCAATGTAGGACCTTTTGAAATTGTGGTTCCCACTACACAATGCAATTTATGATGGACATCTTCAAATTTCCATTGAGCTCAAGAATATTCAAATTGACTCAATAGCATCTCAGCACAATCTGGTAGGTTTTGTACATGAAAAACATTGTACTCGATAACGAGGTGGGAGGACATTTGCTGCAAAATTCTAGTGATTGTGAGCTACACCAGTGGGATAGAAATTCTAAATGGCCATCTGAAAGCTGATAAATTGGAAACCTAGATCTATATATTTTAAAAAATAACTTTTAACCAAATGGGAAAAGAAAAAAAGTTTATTTTTACCTTTCAGGTCATAAAAGTATCTTGCCACAAGGAAGTCCCTAGACTGTGTATAGCTGGCCTTCCTCACCAGCTCATTGAGATTGGGAGGAAGGTTGACTGCCTGGTTCTCTGCAGGTTGCTTAAAGGACCTGATGAAGTCCACCCCACCAGCTGGCTGAAATAAAAAAAAAGTAACTCAAACTTTTGCAGGTCTTTCATACAGTAGGAGCACACAATAATAATATTACAATACAATTATTATAATACTATATTATATATCAATTATATAATATAATAATACAAATTAAAATTACATGTACACAAGTCATGCAAAAGGTTTAGATTTAAACATGCTTTAAACTAGGATAGAAAATTTACTGAAGTCAAATAAACTCTGGGAATGGCCAGCGTTCATATCACTCTGCAACTCACAACTAGCAACCCACTGAAGCTAAGCAGGTGTGAGCCTGGTCAGTACCTGGATGGGAGACTTCCTGGGAAAAAACTAAGGTTGCTGCTGGAAGAGGTGTTAGTGGGGCCAGCAGGGGGTGCTCACCCTGTAGTCCATGTGGGTCCTAATGCCCCAGTATAGGGAGGGGGACACTATACTGTAAACAGGTGTTCAGGTGCACTATGGCTACTGTTGCATCATCCAGGTGGCTGCTGTACATTGGTGGTGGGGGAGGGGAGTCCCCATTAGCTGTAAATGGCTTTGAGTAGAGTGTCCAGAAAAGTGTTATATAGTTGTAAGCAATTATTATTATTCTAATTTTTCACACCTAGTAGATAAACAAATTGTCCACTAGGTGGATAACAAACCAATTTTTTGCAGTATCTATTTTTATATGCAATACATTTCCAATTTGTTACATTGTTTTGTTTACATTTACAAGATTTATTTTGGAGGACAAGGCATGATTTCTTCTGCACAGTGTGAGTGATTAGATGTTATCATAGTCATCCCAATTTTAAACAGGTAAGGGCTTATTCCATGCTGAAAAGAAATGAAAAGAGATACAATGTTTCAGCTGTGAAGCCTTCTTCTGGTGTTTTTTTTCTTTTCAGCGTGGAATAAACCTTTACCTGTTCCTTTGCAGCCTACACTTGACGCAGCTCCCTACTTGAACTTCTTCAGCCCATTTTAAACATATATTAAACCCCCCACTGTGTACAGAATTGGTCTGAAATGGACACACATGCTGACCTTCATTCGGCAGGGAGAACACCCTGGAGATCGGCCAAGTCACCGATGAACACCGTGCTTACCTTAAGGGACCGAGCGGCAATGTCCTGCGGTGTGGCATAAAACACGTCATCTACGTCACGGGTGACAAGCTCTTCGTGAGTGGTGAAGAACAGCACAAACAAGCAGTCCTCCTGCCCCACACACTTCATCCAGTGCAGGGTGCTCCTGGGGAGGAAGATGACCTGCCCAGCCGTCACATTGTAAGACGTCACGGAGAAGGGAGCCGAGTCCAGGATACCGATCCATACTGTTCCCTGAGAAAAGTCAGACATTAAAGAACAGCCAACAAGAGCTTCTTTGCAAGTATCATGCAGGTCCTGCATGTCAGTCAACTAGAAACTATACCAAGAGGCACTAGTATAAATGCAACAAATGCGCATTAGACCTGATAACATTTGTTGAGGTTTTAATGCCTCCAATCATATATAGTAATACTAAATAGAACAAAAAGACAGCTGTGAGAATGTTCTGACTGCAGAAAAGTCCATACTATAGAGCCCCTTTTCTCACTAACATTTCAATTCAGGTCATGACATGGTGTCAAGTAGGTCATACAAGCATTTTCACACTGCAGTTTAAACAACGTGGGTCAACCCAGGATCAGAGAGGTCCCAAGGTGCATTACACATTCTAACTCGGTGGAAAAACTTGCATTCCTACCATGCCCGACCCCTCTAGAGATGAGAAGAGCTTTTCATGTACAACTGCTTAGTCAAACAAAAGTCTAAATGCTATTTTTGTTCGGGTAAATGCATACATTGTCATTGCAATGGTAGTTTTTTTAGCTACACTGTGGATTTTGCAGACTGTTATATTGTGATATTGTGTATGGAAAAGGTATGTTCCTGTGACAATGTTATGACAGATTTTATAATACAATCTAATTAATGTTGAGCTTTTTTTTCCTGTAAGTGTATTCTATTTTACCTTCATATTGACACATTTTACCTACCAGAAACTGCCTATCAGCCCCCTCACCCCCATACACACACTTTCAAAAATTATTGACAAAATATCTGAGGAGATTATGCACAAAAATGAAGTTTTAATATGCACACCCCCAAATCATTCAGTACTTTGACCTTGAAACGGGCCAATGTTGAGCACTCCTCACAGCTTAAAATTACTCATCTTAAAGTAGGTGAGATATATTTACAGTATGCTAAGGAACATACAGAGAATAACACAATATTAGGTTAAGAATGTACCACTTTTATCAGTTGACTATATTGAGTCTGGATGCTGGGTGTACCTTTGGAGCAGAGTGTTGAATTGTACAGCTGAATAGACAAGACTTGTTTCTTGGGCTATTAGCTTATGATGAAAAATGACCAAATTATTATTATTATACTGTTGACAGACTTGACAGACCTGTTTTTATTTTGTATTGCTTTCCTACACATGAAAGGGCCTAGCTAAACAACACCAACTATTATTTGCTAATTTCTAAAACTGCTGTCAAAGACAACATTGTGAGGCACTTTACCTTTTACTATAGATATTTAAATGATAATGATGAAGGTTTTGGAGGGCCTGTAAATCAAACGTATGCCACAACATACAATCTTTACCCTTTAAAAGTTTGAAAACCTAAAGAACACATCTGAGTGTCTGAAGGTATTGTTGACCTCCAACTTTTAACAGTTAACTCAGCAAGGCAAGCATAAATATTCTGTTTTATTCTTCAGTCAAAGAATTTGACTATGATCAATGGACGAACTGGCACATTCACTATCACTTAAGCCATTAGTGTCTTAGATACTTCATACTTTGGCACTGTTTGTATAAAGGGGTCTATTGAGCATAAAGCTAACTCCAAGGAAATATTCACAGCATAGCGAACATCAATTTTACCGTTGCCAGGAACCCGTGCTCATTAGCATTGAAGTGCCAATGGGGAACACGACACCCATTGGGCTTAATCAACAAAGTGGAGGCGGTCATTTTAGCATCATTGGCATTGATACTGCTGCCAAACTCCTCCTCTTCTTTGGTGTCGTAGTCTTTGGGGTTCTTCCGATACCTTGCCCATTGGACCACTCCGCCTGACAATACAAATTTCTGTCATCAAAGACAAAAATAGAATAAATTCAACAATTTGTATGACAGAGAAAAAACTCATTGTTAATCAGCTGACCTGGTTGTTTTGATCTTTATGAAATGTATACTATGTTGGAAAGGTAAGGTGTTGTGAAGGTGTTGTGAAATGATGTTACTAGCGTGTCAATACCAGAGGAAAAATGCAATGCTGCCTACAAATTATATGACCTAACCTGAGTTGAGAGTGTGGATCCGCGTCAAACTGAGACTTGAAAAAGAACAATTAGAGATTAATTTCATGTTGACAGTAAAAAAGAAACAGAAGAAGGTTGAACATCTAAAACGTTGTACTTTTTCTTCTGTCTGCTCTCCTTTGTACATAGAATTAACCTCTCCTTGTTGTCAGTTTGGATGGTTTATGAAGGTTTATGGAGGGCTAGTTGTTGAGGGATGCAATAACATTCATAGCTAATGGTAAAATGTTGCAACTGTTTCCAAAAAGAAAAAACCTTATCTCATCTTGATCATCATCTGATGAGAGGGTTAGGTTTTGGAGTGTAGTCATCAGCATTCAATTATGCTAGTCTACAATAAAGTCACTTTACTGTTTCAAAACTTTTGAAGGGCACTGCAGCATTTATTGTGCTAGATTTATTGTAGTAGAGAATGGTATTGACCTAGAGCTAAAGTAAGTTTTACAACCCAACACATCTTTTCTGCGGTAGGTAACTCTGAAATACTGGTAATGAAAGGCAGTCTCATTAGCTCCATCCAAAACTATGTTTATTCCTGGTATGTTTATTCCATTTATTCCTGGTATGATTATTCCTGGTAAGTGGTAACATGGAGCCTCTCCCAGGATCACAGTGCACAAGACAGAACAAGACTCTGTACAGCATGCCAGTCTATCTCATACTAGTATACAGAAACACACAGGGACACTTTGCTTTTCTATTCTAAGCTGCCTAGCGTTCTAGGCATCACCTTTGGCAAAGCTAGTAACTAAGACTTGCTCACCACCTGTGCTATATTTGCTTCACCCTTTTACAAGTACAAACATCATTTATGCGCTGGATAAAACCCCTTAAAGGAGACTGCTGCCCAAAATAAGGCTGAGAACATGTACAGGAATTCAGTGACATTACATTCCTAATCAAACAGTTAATAATTCAGTTTCATTTCACTCCGGAACATCAAGGCACTCGGACCTCTTTATCATGTATACCACTGTATGTGAATGACACCCCTTCTAATTCAAAACGCTACCGAGAACACTGTCTAATTGAGCAGCACAAATGTACCATAAAGAGGTTAAACAGGGATAATATACCTGAAAATCTGAAGATGCAGCATGAAAGATTGACACAATATTTTTTTGTGAAGAGGAAATTTGTGTCAGACCTATTAAAATCAGCATGAGCCTCATACCTTTGTTTTCTCCATCTGATTCAAGTACTTGAATTTGGGGTCAACTGGAGGATTCGAGCTCAGCAGCTTGCTGCTTTCCTCAGGTTTCTCCTTATTGGGTAGCCTCAGAGAAGGGGTGAAGAGAACTAAGGAGACCCCAAGCGTTATGGTCACAAAGGAGGCCAGCAGGCACACAAAGAAGGTCTTCATCAGGGAGGTGCAGGCTCTCATCTGAAAGACACCAGAGTAAATGGGCTTATATTGCCAAGCATAGACTGTTAATCCTAGCTCAATGCATGTTGTACCTCGAATGTCTCCAGCTTTATAACTATCTTCTATTTCACAAACTCTGCCATAAGGCACATTAGCAATATAATACGTGTTCTTAAGCACTATGATATTTGACCATTGCTTGTTGATTGTTGCCAAAAAAATTAACATTTTCTTGATTTATAAATTTTTAAAAAGGCTTGTATTTTGCATGTTTATATAAAAACTAAGTAGTATAGGCCACCATTGGAAAACCATTTATATCAATTATTTATCTTCATTCAAAAACAAAGCATGTTTTCCTTAGTCCTCAACAATGAAGATACTTTGAAAACTCACCTGGTGTCTTTGTTCCTGGTCTCCCATCTGGCACTTGCTGTGGAGACGTGCCTTTTCACTGGTGGTTTCATAATTGTTAAAGTTCATTGTTTAAGACCAAATGGAGAATTTCTTTCAAAAGCAGACAAAAATTATTTGTGCAAAAGTCAAGTGCAAATGGATTAAAAAAATCTACTCATGCTCCTTAAACTTTTTGAATCAAGCGCCGCTGATCCTGTTGTGTTGCAAGCTGTGATGCTCCATTCTCCTTTTATAAGTACGGCAAAGGACTGCAGAGGGAGACGTTCATTTCCCTTTAAGCAAGAATTCAAAACTGACAATTACCTTCCTCTTAAGAAATAATTTATTGTGCAATAAAAATGAAACTTTGGAAACAGTGTTAGCTGTCTTGACGTGACTGAAATTTCCTTCTACCAATTTAATAAGATAATGCTGTACAATGTCAACGTTTTGCTCCACTTTGTTGGAATCTGGATATTTACATTTGTAACACATAGAAGCTATCCAAAGACTTATGGAAAAGTACTATTAAAAGAAAGGGTGAATTGCTGTACAGTTAATGGCAAATGTTTCATTATTATTCTAACAAAGGGAAATTTCAGCCAACTTACGACGGTTGACTCTTTCCAAAGATAACACTGAGGTTTCTCAAGTTATAACTGTGTTTGTAAAGAGGAAGGTAGTGAACAGTTTTGTAAGCTTGCCGAACACAAATAATTGTCACTTTGTTATAGCAGCTGGGAGCTAATATGATTAGCAAGAAATTCAAATCCTTTCTGCACATAAAAATACATTCTCTCATGCTATGACTTTGAAGGTAAAGTTCCATTTTGAAGCAGGCACTGTAGAAAGTAACACAGAAATAAGTCACTGTAATCTATATTGTACACTTGAAGCTGCTTATCAGAGCAGCGAGTAGTAAATCCTGTATGTGCACTGACAACCTTCAGTCTATGCGGCCTGTCCTTCATCCTTGGTAGAGATAGTTGTTTGACCATTGCAAACAGCAGTAGATTCCATGTGTGCCACAGCCTTGCTTGAATTTACAAGCTGTTTATAAAAAAAAAATTCAGTCTGCTACTGCATTACTTTCTAGACTGCCTACTTCAAAATGAAACTTTACCTTCAAAGTAGTAATAAGACTGAGTGAGCTCTATCTACAGTACCTGCAGCAATAGTACTTTTCATGGTCCATGATAAGAATCCCTGTCTCTGTGATGTTTCTTGTTCAGGTGGTGATTGACGAACAAAGATTCAACTATGAATACCAAGGTTCTTTCAAACTAACCCGGTGAACAAGGTATAAAAAGAATTAAAGACAATGAATATACCTTTGAGCTTTGTGCAGTCAATCATTAAAATGCGGGAGATGGATCATTTCACCCAGACAATTCCTAGATCAGGCTGATGCCACTCTAAGGCCAAAAGTAACTGAAAAATCTACAGAGTTCAATGGTTAAGATGGGAAAAAATATACAGTATATTTGAGACAAATATACAGTATATCCATCATTTAACAAAGCTGGCCAGAAGGAAGCCATTGCTGAAATCCATAAAGCATTTGATTGATACTGCAAACACGTTTTTGTGGTCAGATAAGACAAAATTGGAACTTTTTGGTCTTGATTCAAAGAATAACGCTGGACATAAACCCAACACTGTATGGTATAAAGTGGTTTGTCAAATGACATGACATGACCTGACAAACCCAACATAGCACATCACCTATTCTGTTCATCAAGCTGGGTGGTAGCAGCAACATGCTATGGGGATGCATCTCTCTACAGGAATGGATAGGAGTGAAGGAATACCGTATTAGAATATATACAGTATTCCAGTATATTTTAGGGTTAGGGAAAAGAAAGTCAGAAAGTTGTAGAGAAAAAAAAATGATGTTACGTTCCTAAATAATGCAACTTATAGCAAAATTACTTACAAAGGGGAATTAATATCTGTAATAAATAATGGAATTAGCTTGGGACACATCACCAAGATATAGTTCAGACACAGGTATATACATTGAATGTGATTTTGCTCTTTACAATATTTTTTCATTTCCAGAACAACATATTTCATGAATCAAAAAGAAAATTGCTGGTGTTGGATGTCTTCAAAAATGACATAAGTGCGGGGAATTTTTATGTCACTTTCCTCAACTTATTTGTGACTTTTTTAGTGCAAAATTACATATAATAGGGTGACATGTAATAGAGACTGCCAGTAATGGACAGTAATAAAGAGCAGGCAAATACTAGAGGAAAAAGTGTTTTAGTATGTTAAAAAACTGAGATGAGGATTCACTTTTCAGCAGGATAAAGCTTAAAGCCAAGTGCTACACTGACCCTTAAGAAAGTGAATGGCCTTGAATGGCCCATTCAGTTCTTGCATCTTATTACAAATCTGTGGAAAAACTTCAACTGCTGTTCATAAACGATCCCCTAGCAACCTGAGAGGGCTTTATCAAATCTGCCATTAAGAACGTACAAAAACTGCACCAATCCAGTGTCAACATTGCTGATTGACCCAAAAATACATGTGGCTGAATTAGAGGCCATAAACGGGAAAGAAAAACAATTGACAGACCCAGTGAGACACATTTTTGTCAAACTCATAGGAGGTTAATGATTCAACTTACGTTTATCTGTAACAAGCCATAACTAAATACTCGAAAGCTACTCCATGCTAGATTGTGCACTGATGCTTGTCATATCTAAATACAAAACAGATTAGAACATCTGTCCTGCTACAATTCTCCACATCTTATACGGGGTTAACTTTGTTAAAGGCAATGTATAGGTTCATTTTAAAAATTGCCCAGAGTTGCTCAACCAGTGAAGGATTGCAGAATGAGCTCCATTAGTCCAGAGCCTGGGCTAGACCATTAGCAAATACCATCCCCAGAGTAGTCCTCAGATCTGCTGTGACTTAAGCTGCTCTAGACCTCCTGCCCATGGGTTACCACAGTGACTTTTGCAATCTGCCTGGTGCCTGGTGCCTGTAAGCTTGCAGTGTTTTCAATCAGGGCTGCATTATTGCTTTAATGGATTTAATTTTGGTGTAGCTGTTGTGAGTAACACTGTTACTCAAATTGGCAGATAGTATAAAGGTTTATATGGATGATCTGTGTGCAGCTTTCTTTTTTATTATGCAGGAATAAGGTCAGTTGTCTAACATCTGGTGACTCCAAATTAAGGTTATAGATTGGTGTATGAAGGCAAAAACAAGTGTCTCTCATTTTTCTTCCCACAATGAAAAAAAAAATGTACATTTGGAAACTAACAAATTTAATTTAGCCATCCACGAACTACTTGATCCAATGCATTGCTGCAGGGAAACGGAGTCTATCCATTTAGCCAGTCTAGCCAAAGCAACAGGCACAAGGCAGGATACACCCTGGATAGGAAGCCAGTCTATGTCAGGGCACGCACAAATACACCTATTCGCACCTGTGCCAAATTCTCACAGAAGCCAATTAACCTAATGGTATGTCTTTGAAGTGTGGGAGGAAAGCAGAGCACCTAGAAGAAACCCACGTAAACACAATCGCCATGCATATAGCAGCCGAAGGTTCAGAAATTTAACACAGGACCACAGTACTGCCAGATGCCAATACTAACCGCTGTACCACTTTACACAAACTTTATTTATATCAAGTTGTAAAAAATCACATATATAATCACTAAAAATACAGTTTTATTGTTAGCTCTTGAATATCAAGCTTACAGTGGCAAAGATAGAAAGTTTGTTAAAAAGTGCAAAAAACTTCCCGAAAAATATATTTTCTCTTTGACAGTGTTTAAGGTTTTTTAGTATCCTCAAAGTCGAAGTGATTCTCATTCTGAACCAGCTCGTCGTCTTCCTCCTTTTCCTTCATATCGTCAACAAGGTTCTTCAGTCTTCCCAAATGGTACAAGGCCCTGCAACCACACATTTTTTATTCAGGAGTCATGTTATGAGAAGTCAGTTCTCTGCAGTAGATATAATAAATATGTAATTAAAGGTATTATTATGCTGTAGAATAGAATGTCTGTTCCACCAATACAGTTTGTTGTCGAAGACTGATAAATGAGACTAATTTGTTTGAGGACTGGATTCCATAGGTCCAGTGTCATCTCTACTTACATTTGATGTGCAAGTCAAAGTTAACCCTCTCCTTGGGTTAAATGACTGACATTTATTCTCCCTCACTAAGCAAATCCTGATTGGAATAAAAAGTGTTTTTGTACTGTCCTGAGGCTTAAAGGAACAAAAAAGGAGCAATTTCAAATTCACAACTTGTTCACAACTCACAAAATATTGCAATTGAAGAAAACAATTACCTGAATGAACACTAAGATACCAATATATGAACAATATAAATCTATTAAACTAAAATCTAAATTTATGCAAGAATGTGCTAAACTAGTAATGACGGAATCGTATATTTTTAGTACAATCTCATCAAAATATGACAAATGCAGAGAATAAATAGCTCTTACCTCTGCAAAGACTGACTACCCAGAGCTGTTTCATAATTCTCCAGTGTTGGTTTGGAATTAATCTATATAAAGATAAAGATTTCACTTTTGTGGTTATTTTCACAGTTGACGGTTGATACCAAAGGAACTTTAATATTGTGACAGACAAAAATCCTCCCGCCTGTTCATACAAAAAAAGGAAGTCAGAAAAGGCATAGAAAATATAAGCCTTAGAACAGCTCCATCTCCTACAGCATGACACAAATGGGGCTCAGAAGACATGTAATTCCAACAGTACCATATACCTAGGATAATCTGCATTAACTAACTTACTAATTTTCTAAGCAGACTGCTAACACCTAGAAATAAAGAAGAAGAAAAAACAGGAAGCAGTAGACTGGAGGACGAGTGTTTGCTAACTACACTGCTCCCCAAAAGGGCCAGACAATTACACAAACAGAATGCAATCTGTGTGACTGAGATGCTCAGATTAGCTTCTTCAGCCTCTGGTGTAAGATGCAGTATTTGCACCATGGGCTTTCTCCTGAAACAAAAACATGCAATAGGTGATAACAAATATAAACTGTACAAAGCATTGTGATTTAACAGAGAATAACAAAGTGTGCTTAGATTATTTAAAGAAGGTATCTCTTCCTGTAAATTTACTCCACCTCTATTAGCAAGGAGTATCTTATTTATTTTCTACACAACAAGGAAATGCAATGCACCGATTTGTCCCAGAGGTCCTTACCTTGGAATTGTCCTGTTGGTGCTGGCCTGTGTGTTCTTGGCTGACACGCTGCTCCACAGCCTGCAAGCTGAACAGCATGTGCTTCAGTGCCTCTACAGGCCCGGGATGCTTCCTGCTGCTGTAACCTGATGAAGAGGAACCTGTAACCTTTAATTAGAGAACAGATCATTAGAAATAAAACATCAGATTCTTCCAGCCCCATGGTCATCATTCATGTGAAGTCAAAACTTTAGAATTGAACACTGTAGTACTAGTGTTCAACTGGAGTATTAATACTGTATAACCCGTTCCTCATACAACCTTTCAAACTTCCCAATTTATAATACATTCTATACTGTATGATGCATTAAACTGTTATTAGTTATTATGTTATTATTACAACTAATGGCAAATATTTTGTCTCTCTCTGAGAAAGCTCTTCAAACATGCATTAAGATGATGATGATGATGATGATGATGATGATGATGATGATGATGAACCAGGAGGCCCAAGTGGAAACTAAGTGCAAGTTCCACTCAGTAATAAGAGCCACTTCTTCAGCCAAAGGATTGTGGGTGTGTAGAAGAGGCTACCCAGCCACGTGTCTGAAAGACGATTTCAACTTTGGCTTCTTCAAAGAAAGGGCTGGATGAGATCCCTGAATAAATTACTTACTAACTACTAAATGGGCCACCTCTCCTTTTGGGGGGACAGACTAAAACAAATAACAAAATGGAATACAGTGGACAAGGAATGCTCAAAGACTATAATGGAGCAAAAAGAAAAAAAAAACAGATCTAAGATTATGATCCCTGCTGTCAAATCTTAAAACCCAAAATACAGTTTCTAGAAAATATTCTATTTTACAAAATAAAAGTGAAATAACAAGGAATGCCATTTCTTTTCTACACAATGACGAGCCAGGAAAACCAGAAAAAAAGAAATATGTACTAAACTGATGAATGTAGAATGTAGTATGTTTGCATGTAAAACATTGCCAGCACCATGCTGTCAATAGACACGCTGTTCCAGTTAGACTTTGTGTGTGCTTTCACTGATATTGTAGGAAGCTGCTATGTTGTTTTGGAAGCAAGCACATTTCTTAGTAACACATTGTGCAACATGCTGAAATAGCATGCGGAACATCTTAAGTTGTTTGTCGAAGTACTGCTGAAAGCTAAAATGACAAAAAAGTGCTATACAATTCTTGAAAAGAAGACAATGAAGAGCTATTGATGAATTGCTTTACGTGATCTTTTAACACTTTTGTGTCATCCTTTAAATCACCGTGCTGCTTGATCCAATTTCCTTCATCTGAAATTATAAGATTTTGTAAAAGTTGTGAATAAGAATAAGCTGAATTTCTACAAATGTCCTCTATCTCTGTCAGTAACTAAAGGTATGGCATGTACTTGGTCACCATCTAGTTGCTGCAAAATTTCTCTCTCAGAATTTCCATGATATCTTTTGAATTTATTTAATGCACAAAAAATGCAACAGAAAACACTGGATCCCTAATTAAAGATACATTGCAAATCACATAAGGTGATAAGTAGTAACCATCAAGATTAAAGGTGGTATCATATTTTGTGGAAGAGAGAGATAATTTTTACTCCTGTCAATGAGGGCTTGAGCCTCACTCACGAGAGCCAAATGAAACAAGCAGATCTGGGTAGAGTATAATGTTCCATACAGAGTCTTTCCAATGCACAGCTAATTCATGCAGGCTGAGGAAATGTGCTGTTTTCTGTTCTGTTTCTTTGTAGACAATGTTTTGTACTTGTTTCTAATTTTGGGGAAGACCTACAATAACGTGACACTGTGACTCCTGTCAGAGCTGCTAATTGCCACTCCTCTTTATCGGCTGATTGGCTGCTTTGCATTCAAAAGCCAACAAGCAATGTTTCGCCATTTCTTTCTTGTTTTGCTGCTTGTCTTTTGCAAATTTCAACACACGCTACCTATCTACCCCAAAATATAATTATTTTCGAGGCACACCTCCTTATCCTGATTTTGACTCTTTCTTTACATTTGATTAACTCTGAGTTAGGGATTATAGCATTGGCACTGTTTTAATTTCTGTTCCATTATAGGCTATGGGCATTCTTTCTCCATTATAATCTATGGACTTTCTGTTTTGTCATTCATTCATCTTGAACAGGAGAAAAATGTGTTAAAAAGTCGTCAGTTGCAAGATGAAATGTCCTGCCTTTTCCTTTATCAGCAATATCCCCATTTATGGATACCAACCAAAACAACTAGAAAGTGTTTTCTGACTATATAAATGGAATTACTTTGTTACTCATTTTATATAGAATAAATTAACCATATTAGATAATAAAAATACATGAGAACCTTAGTAAAAGAGACCTAGTCACTTCCAACCTTGCTTAAGGTTAAGCATACTAATGTTGTAATGGGAAAATTAGGTTAGACTCCCTATATTTATCTTTAGAAGTATATTTTGACAAACCTCTCTGCAGTCAGACATATAGTTATCCATGAGCTTGCTTCTTGCTGTTTCAGTAGGATTTAGAAGTTCTTCAGCCTCCCCTACTGGCACTGGAGTCTTACTATAAGAAGAGGAAAGAATACAGCTCAGTTTTCAATGGAACATATTAACAACAGGGGGTGCTTTTTTGCAGGAATCTAGACTTGTATAAAAGTAACTTGCAGATTTAGCACGAAGATCCAATTGTATATATTTAAATGGTTAGACCTTAATAACAGTGCTAAAATACATGGTATTTCTTATTTCCAACTGTATCATTGAAAATCTCTGCACTATTACTAGTGATATCGTCAATCTGAACTTGATTGAAAAACTGACAAAGAAGAGAGAAAGCTGTGATCGATGAATACAGAACAATAAAATATATCAAGGAATTCAAACAAGAAGAGACCATTTCGCTCATCTTGCTCTTTTTGTTGCTGAGTAGTTCTGGGTATTACTTCAATAATAAAAAAATCTTTATTTAACCTCACAAGTCAGTTGAGGAAAAATTTACAATGACACCTGGATAGCACTTATTTAAATTGGCACTATATTGGTGCAATCCCTGTGGAGTACCTTGCTCAAGGGCACAACAGCAGAGTACTAGGCAGGATTGTAACCAACAACCTTTCAATTACAAGTCGAGAGCACTTAACTGCTACTCCACACTGCTTCACATAGGGCCGCATTGTATAGTCTATTTCTCTCTGTTTTGCAAAAGAGTTCATTCTGTAGACATAAGATTCCATAAGAAAATTCAAAGAAGGATTTAAATCAATGATAAATACGATCTGAATACAATGGAAGACACACTAACAAAGAGATGGGGGGATTATCCCAGGAACGATCTGCATCCAGCACCTCTTCAGTCTCTGGGCTTCCATGTTCTTTCTCAGAACGGCTCAGCCCCAGAGATGGGGATGCCAGAGCCTTCTCAGCTTTCTGGATAAGTAACTCTATCTTGTCATCTGAAAAAAAAAACAACAACAAAAACCTCAACTAGACTTTTATTACAAGACTTATAAGCAGTTTAAAGAATTATATAAAAACGAACACTGTGTAAATAAGTGAACTTTTATTTCAGCCTTATTTTAATATATGTATCCTGCTTCCAGTATCTGGGTGTCCTTTAGCAAAAAAAACCCAATGAACTATTCTCTGAAAGAAAAATTCACATGAGCTGCTGTAAATTTACTTTCTCTCTTACTGTACCTCTGAAGGGCTCATCATAATTGGCAATTCTTCTTGTCTCTTCAGAAGCCAGATGTCCAGCAAATGCTTCCCTCAATTCAGGCAGTGAATTCTGACCTGCCTCTTCCTTAAAGACAGTACAGTCATTCTTCTGTAGTCCAATTCGTCGCACAGACTCACTGGTTGCCCTCAGACGGTCATCTGTATTTTGCTGTAGTTCATAATAAGAAGCTTCCAACTCTTCAAGCCAAGATGGGATTTTGGGCTGGGTGGTGGGCCTCTGTGTATGACAGAGACTCTGCCTGACCTCTTTCACAGCTTCATCATTGCCGCTCAGGTCTGAAGCAAGGTCACAGTCCTTCAACCACGCAGGGTACTTCATGTCAGGGACACTAGTAATCCCCGAAAAATCCATTTCTGACTTCTGGCTAGTCAGCCACCTGGGATAATTATGGGCAGAGTTGGTGTTGAGTTTCCTTTTCTCCAAGTTAAGATGAGTTGAGAGGAATAGTTTGTGTTTCTCATATGTAGTAGTTCTGTGACCTGACTGTGTACACAGAAAGTCCTGAAGCTCTTGATTTCTTACAGCCTTCTTCTGGTGCATGTAAGTGTCCTTCACTAAGACCCCATTAGATGTCCTTGATGTGTGACTGGGGTCAGCGCAGGATCTCACACCGGACCTAGAATGGGAAAAGGCATCTGGATGCTGTCGTCCAGATCGTGACAAAAATACAGAGGTCCGGGTAATCGGCAGTGAGCCATCTGGGGGGAGGACCAGGAGGTCATCTGTGGTGAGACTGAGAAGGTCTGGGTCTCTGGTGCGACGACTGTCAATGGGAAGATCCAGAAAATCCAGCTCCTTTTCTGACAGCTTCTCTTTAAGAACTGAAGAGAAAGAACACAGAGAACGGTTGCTACAACAGAAGTCTAAAAAAACAGTTCAGACTTAATAGGATCAAGAACTTCATTTGCCTTTTTCCCCAACACAACAAGAAAATGAATATGTTGTTGCCCAAATTTTTCACATTTTCCAAAAACATTCACCTAAAGCCTTTTTCTGCCTTGTGTTTGTCAATGCTAGTCTATATTTTATTTAAAAATCCCTTTGATAGATGACCTGGCAAAAGTCACACTGAAGCGAAAGGAGATAGGAAGTTCAAATATTACATCTCTATTTTTTTTTATGCATAAACACTTCAAATTTGAAAGAAAACAATCGCATTCCAGCTTACCATCCTTGTTCCTGAACCTTGGTCTTGACAACACATGGCTGACAGCGTCCTTGCTCAGCTGATGTTCCTCTTTGGCTTGATCCGCAGTGCCCTGGCTCCTCTCGAAGTCTTTAATGTAGGCGTCCAGGGCCTCAGTGGCCGACCCATACCGCCTATCTTTGTACGTGATGGAGGGATGGGAGGCGTCTGTGTGCAGAGAGCTCCTCAGGTATCCAGAGCTTGCCAGCAGTGATGTGACAGTGGATTCGGGGGAGTAGAGGCTGTCAGCCACACTCATCCTATCTGCAGAGCTTTCAAAGAGCTTCTCATCTTATCCTAGCCTTTAAAAACAACAACACTGTATTCATATACACATTGGGTTCAAATGCTGACTGTTTTTCTTAGGGTTAGGACAGGTCAGTCACTGCTAACCTTAAGACTTAAATTTTTAATGAGAACCACAGGGAAAAATTCCACCACACAACCCTTTTTACTGTGAACTGGTTTATGAATAAACTTTTTTTGTACTATCACGGCAACTTAATTTTAGTAAAATATCTTTTGGAAGCTCAAAGGACAAATAAAAAGGTGCCTTTATTAAATTCCGCAATTTGTTAAGTTAAAGAATGTCGTCTTAATAAAGTGAAGTTTAGGTTATGCTATTTTCACTGTCACAAAAGACACGGACTACACATTAGCAAAAATAAAAGCATTTAAACACAGTATTTACATATGCAGTTCCATAATTCCCGCGTCGACAGTTCAGAAGAACCATACAGCAGCTTCAGACAGGCTGTTGAAATGCTTCCAATCATTAAAAAAAAAACAAAGAAACGCAAAACATGTTTAATATATACATATATATATATTTAATATATAAAAACTTCTTTAATTAAAATTGACTCGTTTTACCTCCATTTTTAAAATCAGATTTCAAAATACATTATTTCCTCTTGCACACTTCTCTAACTGATGTAAACGCAGACTTCCGCCACCCTAGGAAATCGACTACCTATCACGTCGATTTCAGGCAGAAAAAGTCAATTCTGGAAATCTCAGGCCAACTAAAAATGTTCCATGAGTTTTCATAGATACTGCTAAAGTCACTTATAACGAAATAGGTAAAAATAAAAATAGTGGGATGTGAATTTTAGAACTGCTTTAGATTGTATAGTTATTGGTGTATTATTTCTAATTCTATAATAATTGAAGATTCGGCAACCTGAATTAATTGTACCCGAGAGAGAAAACGGACAATGTATTAATAATGCATTGCATAAGCTTTATGATTAACCTTATTTAATTTATTTAATGGATTTACGCGAATTAGCAAGGTTTGGTGAAATATAGATACAGATATTGTGCAAGGTAGTCTATTTAAAATAAGCACATATTAGGTATATAACAGAAATTAGATTCCTATTTTATGTGCTCAGATTAAAAAAGAACGAAAATATGGACAATAATCGATTTTTCCTCTGCATTTCCACGTATACATATGACCTGTGTCTGGTTGGCCACGGGGATAGTATGGAGTAGTAGAGTTTGTTTTCTTGTACATTTTACGCTTCACATCGAGGTAAAACATTAAGTACAAGAGCAATTTGAAGGAAAACTCTTGGCTTTTTGCGTAATTGTAAGAGTCAAAAGTCCAGGTAATAATATGAAATATAGGAACTTATTGATTGGGATAATACTGATACTCTTGTGTCTATTTTTCGCAATTTTTGTTCATGTAAATTGAACTGTCTCGAAACATTTGGCTTTGGGTCGAGTTCAGTTAACTTAAACACGCTATACGTTGCTTAGTAGGTTTTTTTTATATGTGATTTTAATTTTGTTTTCGATAGCAGTGTAAAACACAAGCACTAAAAGCCATGAATAGCTTCAAAACGATAGGTGGTTGCAAATCGCACCAGGTATTTTTAATATTTTTTTCTTTTTCAGATTAAGGAATGGATTACCATCAGTCAGCAGAAGAACTTGCCCAGAAGATATGGTCATACAATCAAGATGTGTCTGGTTGGACAGTGGCAAAAAATTCAGTAAGGATTCCATGTTACGTTCAATGGCAATATAAATTCAGGTAGTGTATCCTTTTGAAAACAATGAATATTGGTGATGACAGACAATGGTACTGAAACAATGACACTATAAAAAGTCTGATTTGCTGAACTAAAATGTTCCTTCATAGAAGGGACTTTTTTCTCGTCAGTGTTACCTGCGGAGTGACGGTCTTGCAGACTAAACATGATATGCATCAAATTTCTTCAGAAACCTCACTGCATAATCTGTTCTGCATATGCCTGTAAATGGCAGCTTTTAGAATGGTAATTTTAGGTTTCCTGCAGTTTAGTTATTATTCGTTTTCTATTATTTATCCATTTCACTGTAGTTTTCTTAAGATGTTCTGATGTTATCACTGAGCAGTGTTGTCTAACTGTGCTGTTACAGAGGAATGTCACAGTGTCATGGAAGCCTTCCGGTGAATACAGAGGAAAATTGTAAGTTTTTCAGGTGAATCTTAAAGGTCCATTTTCACATGGGAAGGGTCACTCTCAGGTTTATAGTATGCAGAGGATAGCCAGGTGTAAAGGGTGTATCATCTCAAGTATTTCTAAAACTGCTGTTTATAAGGGAGAGATAGATGGAGTATTTTGGGGAATTAGAAGAAAGATTTTTCTTTTAATGGCCTAGTTAACTCCTCCACCCCCCCACAAACACTACATTGGTAAGATCTGTTGTGTGTGCTAATTGTCTGGTTTTATACTAAAATGTTTCAGTGTGTTTAAACAATGCTGCAAGAAGTACAAGGTTACATGTCTAGAAATGTACACCTTAATACAAAGGAAATATTACTGTATCTGCTTCTGCACCAGACAGATTATGCTGTTATAGACGATCAAAAATTGGCAGTCCCTTTTTTTCTTAAAATCATTTGTGAAAGATAGTTTCAGTCAACAGTCCAGGTGATCACATATTCACTGTACATTAAGAGTTTACTTTGTCAGAATGGCTGAATTGTTCTGCACATTTTATGTCTGATTACAGGTACCGTGCTGAGGGTATAGTAGAGGATACACCTGATAACATCATTCCCTTCATGTATCTACCAGAATACAGGATACGCTGGGATAAAGCACTCAAGTCTTACACACTCTTAGAGAGAATTGATGAGGTAAAAATTGTGAATGCTGAAAAAAACTATAGTGTATATATTAAGAGCATTAAAAAAAATGTGATTATAACTGCAAAAAATTCCCAAAGTGATAATTAGAAAAATGACAAATCATTTTTGTAGCGTGTGTTATTGAACCGACATGACATATAGTAGGTCAATTCAATCTTCTGACTAGTCTGTATGTTAATACCATTGGAAGCAACATAAGCTGTACATCTGTAGCACATGCTTTGCACCAGGTTGTAGGGGCTGGCTTGTCTTGCGGGATTCTGTCCCTTTCGTCTCACAGAGCCTAGAAATCAGTTCACTGGTCATGGTGCCCTAGATACCATACATCATCCCACCTCACCCTACAAGTGCTCAGTGATGCTCAAGGCTAGCGAATAGGGCAGCCGCACCATAGTGTCATATCCCTGTCTCACAAACAAAGCCATTGTTGTTACACAAGCAGCATTAGAAAGTATATTGGCATACTGGAGTGACGTCCTATCAGGAGCTCACAAAACCAGAAACAAGTGAGGTCACTGGATCAGTGGAGAGCTGTGCAGTGAGGTTGTCATCAGTCACTGCAAGTGGAATCTTGTAGGAACTACAAACTAATGCCCAGAAAATCACACATGGACCTACCCACTTATTTATCTTGGTGACGAGTCATGATGTGTAGTCTTCCAGATTATCTTCTATTACCGATACTGATGGGTATCTTGCAAGGCTAGACAGTGAACACCCCTGATGGCAAATGATGGTCCACCCTGTGATGCACTCATAAAATTAACTGTAATAATCCAAGATTTTAAATGTTGGTGTCCCGATAACTCATTGTTATATACTTTATAAATTAAAGAAAAATTGAAATAATTATTTGTCAATACACAATCTATTCTTAGACATCCTTGGCTAAACCACGTTGTTCTCTCTGTATGCCTTACTGACATAAATCATTTTTCACAGAACACTGCAATTTGTCACACAGTAACCCACAGTTATGGAATGGGTCTGATTTCCTCCCGGGACTTTGTTGATCTCATAAGAGTGAAAAGATATGAAGAAGGAATTATAACAACCAACTGTAAGTAGTTTATAGGAATCTTGTAAACGATAAGTGCCTTAAAAGTTAACTATTCATAATGTGTCTCTGCTTGCTTTAATCAAGCCATACAATTCACAGTCCTCCCTGGTGCTGTTTTAAGATACAAGTATAAATAAAGGCATTAGAAACATGAGTAATGCTCTTGGTTTCAATACACATTTAGTCCAATTTTAATTCCTCTAAGTAACAGTAAACAATCATCTTTTTGCATGACTGTTGTTTGATCTCTAAGTTAGATACTTGGCCTGTAACGCTAAAGCTTCTTAGATACTCTTACTTTTTGAAATGCTGGGTGTGGCCTTTTCAGAATAAGATGGTAGATGGTAGGATAGAAGGTTTTCAGCATTTTTATATACAAAAATAGTTTAGTAGTTATATTTTAGTAGTTATATTTTAAACCTTTATTTAAACAGAAAAATCAATGAAATAATTACAATAAACCCCTTGAAGGTAGCCATTTATACAGTTGTATGCAAAAGTTTGGGCACCCCTGGCCAAATTACATGTTTTGTTGATTTTCCAAGTGAAAATAAGTTAAAATAAGTTGCCAGCAGCCATATCACCCTGCAACTCATAACTGGCAACCCACTGAAGCTAAGCAGGTGTTAGCCTTGTCAGTACCTGGATGAGAGACCTCCTGGGAAAAACTAAGGTTGCTGCTGGAAGAGGTGTTAGTGGCGCCAGCAGGGGGCGCTCACCTTGCGGTCCATGTGGGTCCTAATGCCCCAGTATAGTGACGGGGACACAATACTGTAAACAGGCGCCGTCCTTCGGATGAGACGTAAAACCGAGGTCTTGACTCTCTGTGGTCATTAAAAATCACAGGGCATTTCTCGTAAAGAGTAGGGGTGTAACCCCAGCGTCCTGGCCAAATTTCCCATTGGCCCTTACCAATCATAGCCTCCTAATAATCCCCCTCTATGAATTGGCTTCATTTCTCTGCTCTCCTCCCCACTGAGACCTGGTGTGTGATGAGCGTTCTGGCGCACTATGGCTGCCGTCACATCATCCAGGTGGGGCTGCACACTGGTGGTGGTGGAGGGGAGTTCCCATTACCTGTAAAGCGCTTTGAGTGGAGTGTCCAGAAAAGCGCTATATAAGTGTAAGCAATTATTATTATTATTAACACAACCTCTGCAGCAAACAAACATAAAACTTGATTTCTGCAAATTTTAATGCAATAAAATTTAGCTTTACTATTTATTTGCCGAATTTAACAGATTGAAAAAAAAAACAGTGCAGTGCAAGAAGTGCTTGCTTTGAAACGAACTTTTTCTGCACTGCAGGCTTTTACAAACCCCTATCAAATAAACCATGGTCAGACAATGACCATATTTAAGCCAAACCTCATAAGACACAGCAGGAATTAGTTCTCTCTAGTCTTGGTTCTTTCCATGTCTTGTGTATAGATACTGTAATAATTCCTTGACCCGTGCTTTTGTTTTTAGCTGTTAGTGTTGATTACGCACAGTGCCCTCCTTCTCCTGCTCACATCAGAGGACACAACAACCCCTGTGGATATGTGTGCACACCGCTACCGAAGTAAATATATCTTGCTTCTGCCCTTTCTTGTTTTATACTTCCGTGCTTGGAAAACACTCAGGTGCTTTTTTTATGTACAGAGTAGAAACCTTAGTTTCTACCTTAGTTTCAACAGTGTAGAAGAGTTTGAAACCTTATTACCAGATATAAAACACAGTGCTTTTCTTCCATGTATAAAAATTGACATATTATTATAATTTCATTGTGCATCACATTTGTTATTCATAGGTAAGCTGTTCATAGGTTTATCAAAACATACTCCTCATTCAGTGGCTGTTTTTTTTAAGTGCATGTTAAAATCATGTTTTGAGTGCATGTACACAGTGTAGTATTGTCACTCTTTAATTATGTTCACTGTGCCTGCTCTTTCAAATCATAAAACAAAACATTTTATATCTGTCAGTAGGCTTGTGATCCAGTTTCCCTCTTGAACGGATTTCTTTAGTGGGAATCATTTTAAGGACAAAGAACTACATCATTTATAAAGTCAAATTCTGTTTATCTGTAAGCATGATTAAGTAGAAATTCACTGAACATTATACTGAAAGTGCTATGAAAACTGGAGTATTGAAACCATTCTTTAAATACTGCTTACAGAGCAAAGTGTTTCAAATTTAAGTACTGATAATGCTTATTGAGATCTTAAGTCAGTCCTGATTTCTGTCAGTTTGTTCTTTCATCATGTTGTGTGAGCACAAAAATAACATGCAATTATAAAAAGAGATAGCACAGCAATAAAAACGTGTCTAATGCTAGTATGTGCTACTTATAACTTTGAAAACCACATGGCATGTTTCCAGATTTAATAACTTAATTCCTTTCTGTGTTTTTCCATTTCTGTTTCATGGAAAAATGACTGTTTTTGTATTTACCCGATAGGTCCATTACACTGAAAATGGGAAATTCTATGATGTCTGTTATGATTCCTTATACATGTCTTTGCATTCTTAGGAGTCCAGGCCATTCCAAACTAGTGGTGTTCATTCAACCAGACCTGGGAGGGATACTGCCACAGTCCATTGTGGAGTCCGCTTTACCAAACAACCTTATCAACTTGATCAATGACACACGCACTGGAATAAAGACCCTGAGCTGATGATAAAAGACAATGAAAGTGCATTCAAGTGAACAAATAACCTTCCTTTTCAAGTCCAACTTATCTGAAAATAGTATTTATGATCTGGAGTGATTTCATTTGTTCTGCAGATGCATTTCTGTTCCATATAATGGGTATTTCTTCTTTCAAATGAAATGAATCAACTTTTTATATTTGCTGTGGTTGACAGTGTATTCTCTGTGTCCAGAATGATGTCTTTACTTCTGCAACAAAGGGAAAAGGGTTGTTTTCAAATAAGCAAATTATGAATTCATTTAATTTCAGTCTTTCCTTGATACCATAGGTGATATGATAGCTGTAGGATTATATTTTGGGTCAACTTGTTGGCAAGTCCATATTGTAAACAAGTATCATAACATTTTAAAAAGCAATAATCATTCAGTATTTGACAGTATATACAAGCCACCACACTAAGAGAGTTTGGGATAGTGTATTTCCCTGAGTATTTTAGTATTTTATATCCAGTCTACATCCTGATGAAAAAAATAGAAAAAGATCTCAACGATAATGCTAATTTAAATGAAAACATGGTGTTTTAATTTTAAAATAACCGTATCTTCGTGTTTCCTTTGTAGTTTTGCACTTTTACATGATATCATGTTACTGCCTTTTACGTATTCTCTGGTTCTTTTTTATTTGAAGCATAAGTATCATTTTAATGCTGTGCAATAAATATATTTTATGATCAAAAAGATACAGGTTTGGATTGAATATATTAAAAAACAGGATCACAATGCGAATCAGATGCTGCAGTTAAAAGACCATTAAGTTTTAAATTTGACTTACTTTTTTAAGAAGTCTTCACACATTTGTTTCCAAGAAATGAGCCTTACAAAATAAAATTATAATTCTTTTTCATCCTCGCCATCAGAAACACAAAGGAAATGCTGCAGAGTATAACATAAATTTATCTGAGACTCCTCAAAAAATCAAAACTGATTTTCAGAAAGATATTGAAAGTTATATACACCTTCATTTCAAACTGTAAGAAGTGAAACAAGCTTACCGATAGTGATGGTAACAATGTTTAATGATTTAGACTGGAATTAATAACTTAACACCAAACTCACTGTACATCACTCATGGGTCCTGGTTGGAACAAGCTACCCAGTCAGTCATATTGTTGAAGCCAGTTCCCTGGTTCCTTTCACAAAACAGCTAGACAAGATCCTCGGATCAATAAGTTACAAGCACACAGGCCAGATGGGCCAAAAGGCTCTTCTCCAACTGTCCTTATCTCCACCACACAACAGGGCGGGGGGTAGTTCAGGGTGTGGAAGAATTCTCTCCATGCATTATTCCTTTTCCTGCAAGCTAGAAACGCAGCATGTGAAGAAAATTCACGTTCTGTGTTTTTCCCATTAGAAATCAACAAATGCATATGTATCCTCAGACAGGTCCTGTCATAGACAAGCATGTTGCTGGACCCTACACAATAGGCCCGTTTGTTATTTGGTGGGATCAATGATCAAACAGCACTCAAGGTCTAGTAGAAAACGTGTATTTTTTAAATCTCAAATATCTTTATTAAGTATAGTAGCTTAAAAAGCAGAACTGGAATTTATCAAAAATATTATTGCACAGTTATATGGCTGCCCCCTTTTGCAAATTACATATACAAATGTATACCACAGAGATATGTAGTTCAATTATGTTACAATTTCAGCTATGAAACACTAGAACACCCACACAAGCAGTAAAATTGTCTATGTATGCTTAGTGTTTTCACAATTTTATGGCATTTCTATCACTTGAATGCCTAGTTAAATTAGATTATTATATTTATGTTTGTATTGAGACACTTCAATTCCCTGCAGTATTTGACAGGTCTTCTATACCAGTCGATTATCACATTCCAAACCATTAAATCTTGTCCAGGACATCACGCCAGATTAGAGAACAAGATTTTTAACTTTAAATGTACAATATATATACAATACTCTGCACAGTCCGTAATACACCTGTGAGTTCAGCTCTGCTTGAAGTATTTCAATAAGTTGTTTGTCTGAGTGCTTTTAGCTGTAGTAGGTTTTGTGTCTTTGGCTTTTGCTAGATATTTATTGATGTGGATTTTAGAGACTGGTCTTTGCTGCTTCCACTCTGTTAATAACTCCCTCTGTAGCTCTGCAGGCAGCTCGGAGAACACCTTGGGGTCCACATTAGAAGGAAACTCAGCTGTCTGCTTCAGTGGATCACAGTCCATTGGGCTTTCTGGATCCATGGCCTCACAGACGGAAAAGGAAGAGGTGCTAGATTCATGAGCTAGCTGTGGGCTGGGCTGAACAAAGCCAGTTTGACTTTTCTTCTTTTCCTCATGTGAACCAATGGAGTCTGTAGATTTACATTCAGAAGATCCAAGGGAGGTTTTCCTTTTTGGTAGCTGCAGGGTAGATGATAATTCACGTTTGTGGCTGCTCTTCATGACAGGCACTTTCTTTTCTCTGGAAGCACCTAAACATGGGGCAGGAGATGTGCTAGACATTATTTCCCTCTGGATTTCTTCAGGCAACTGTCTGAAAACCTCAGGGTCAACCCCAAGGGGTGGCTGGAAGTCTTTAACCAGTCCAGGCCTGCTCTGCTTCTGCTGGGCTTGTTGTGACTCCTCTCCAGTTACAGCACTCTCACTGCCACATGCTTTTTTCAGGGTATTCACTGTCACATCTGACCCCTGGCCTCTAATACACGACTCGATCTGCAGGAAAACACAGCAAACACTTAACTGCTGGACTGAAGTACAAAAAATAACAGTTTATTATTGTTAGGATTACTTGAAACTACTCTATAGACTGATTTTTACTGTGTGGAAAACACAAAAACATAACTTTTTAAAACTGAAAATATTTATGTTGACTGCTAACTAAACATTTTAAGCAGTTTTGCTTCTGCTTTGATTTGTGTGATTTTTACACTTTTTGGCTTATTTCAGAAGTAATAAAGTGAAGAGCACACTGTTTACTTTAGTAGTAAGAAAGTGAAGATAGTAAGAAACTGCAGATTAGACAGCAGTTGGATGACACAAAGCAAAGATACCATTGTCTACTTCAGTCTTGGTCTTTATCTAATGATGTACTATTCTTAGTCCCTAAAAAATACTGTGAACCACAAACTCTTGGAACTATTACATATATATTGTCTTGAACCAATCTGTAGACTTTGCTTATTACTGGTTGAAGCCAATACAGTACTGTAATACTTTTTTACTTTTTTATTGTAACAAAATAAATAAAGAACTAAAATAGTACTAAGAACTGACTTATATTACCTTGCTGTCAAAGCTGGGATTGGGTTTCCCATCAGTCTTGTGTGCAAAAAAGAATCCTATTGAGCCTTTGTTGGACGTATAGGCAGACTGTAAGTTACTGAAGCACACGTTTATTAATGTGAGGTGAAACGCTGTCTTTGTGTCGATCATTTTACGAAACAGCTTCATGGCTAGGTCAACCAGAGGAGCTACAACATCGGCAGTTCCTGTTGCAACAAAATTAAAGGAAACAAAACAGGAAAGTGGCTTTACAAGGCTTTTCTCAGTAAATAACAAATAACTACAAAAAACTCATAGACAAGTAATAAAGCCTCTTGGTTTAGCAGCTTCATTGTGTAAACTCCAAACAGTATGGAAATTTCTGCAATTACTGTGCTATATCCGATTCAGGTAATAGAGTCATGGGAGCACAGGCTCTTTGTTTTTTTTTGGTTGGCCAAGATGAGGTGCAATTAGATGAATGACGACCCTACCTGTGGCAATTTTCTGTCTGATGTGGTTTGGAATGGGACACTGACGACTCTCCCGGCTGAACCATTTATTAGTGGTTGTAAAGCGCCTTATGGTGAGACGAAGGGTGCGAGGCTGCCTTCCATCTTTGTACATCCTGAAATGACAGAAAGATGTGGACGTCTTCACTCACATGAGTCAGTGAGTCATTACTGAAGGTCCACATTTCTGCTGTGCAAATGAACAGCAAAACCGATATATTTTATAAAATATGCCTGAATTCAACTTGACATCTGTGTTTTTCAGTCACAGATATGAAAATGACAAGTTTCTCCTTCCAAAGCAAGGCTTGAAATGCACTGTCTGAGCACACAGAAAAATGACAAATTAATAAACAGGCTTTTGTATGTATTGGTTAACCCAAACTGCAGAACCAATGTTAAAAGAAAGAATCGGGGAGTCTCCTGTAGTTCTATTTTACATTACAGAACAGCACAAAGAACAACTGGAAAGATCCCGGAAAAAAAAAATGTGGGGTTGTAGGACATTATGGCGAGTCATAGAGTCAAATGTTCTCATTTTAATTTTAACATTCTTATTGGGTTGTGAAGTCTACTATAGGATTGCTCATGGACTTCAAAACTCATTATGGTCTTTTTCTCTTTATGTCTTGGACCCTCTTGACTGAAGAGCCAGGAGCTGCTCCATATCTGTAGACTGATTGTGGTCTGCACTCTGTAATCTGAAACACTGACTTTTCTTGCTGCTTCTTTTTCATTGTTATCAATATAATGATCAGATTGGATCTCCATCCTTTAAAATGCAATAATGTACTTATCATACACACTCTTTCATGCTTCCCATTTAAAACCTGCAACTGCTGGCTTGTCTTGGAGTTTACTCTCTCTCTCGTTTCAATTCTTTGTGAAAGCTGAATTAGCCCCTCTAGAGTGATATGTGTGAAATAATGGGTGAAACTGATGCAAAATGCCAGCAAGACAGCAATAGTTGATTGCTATTCAGACTTGCTAAATGAATTCTCTTATACTATATACTGTAAGTTAATACAATTATATATATCTAAAAGCCTTATGGTTCACTGACAAATAATACTTAGGCCTACAACATTTGTCTTCCTGGTGTTTGTCAAATACATCTATTTCTGTTATATGTGTTTGTTTGAAGTTTTGATGAACCAACTAAGAGGTCTATGAAGGAGTTTTTAATTAATTCTTGAATATGGTTTAAAATCCCCAAAATACTGAAATTAATATTATTATTACATTATTACATTACATTATTATTATTAAATTAATCTAAAAAATAATTATGGCCTCAAAGAGACACAAGTGTACATCATGAAAGAACTATATACTGTACTTCTATACAGCTTGGCCGTTTGACAGGAAACTCGTGTCCAATGACAGGAATGAAGTAGGTCACTAAAGGACAGGACTGAGGCACATTGGCAGAATAGCAAGTAATGATCAAATTACATTTGCCAGTTCTGTACCTGAATTGGGCAAAGACAGAAGACTGCATGCTATCCACTAAGGACATTTAGCAAGAACAAAATATAAATAAACACTAAACTTGGGTGGATATGTGTGTAATGGGATCAATATCAGAAGATAAAGTGGAGTTTTGGCCAAGAATATTATAAGAATATGCATAACTTACATACATGTTACAAGCAGTACTACTGCGCAAAAATGGTGAGTTGGACAGAAAGTAGGATGATCTAATGTAAACAGCTTACTCAGTCTCTTAACACACGGACAAAGAACACACATGATTTGCTGTCAATTACTTATTTTCATATCCAATCATTGACTGGATGATCTTGAGTTTTCCATTAAAACTGCAAATACCTTTCTAGTAGACTAACCAAAAGATCCTCAACTTTCTTCGAAACCTCAGATTCCGTGGAGACTTTCTTGAAGGAGTCTTCATCACTTAGAGACTGAAATTGAAGAAATACACATGGAACTGTCAACATTCAGAAGTGATACCTTTTGACTTAATTTATTATCTGCTTTCTGTCAATGAAGAGAGAGCACGTCTTAAGGGGATGGTTTTGGAAGTCCTCGCTCTCACTGCATAACTGACAAAATCTGAGGAACTGTGAGAAAGGAAGAAAGCTTTAGTGTATACTTATGTATACCTATGTTTCATTAATGCTATGAGTATAAGGGACTAATACTATGCTAGCTGGAGGTTTGGGTAATCCTTTAGGAAGAAGTATCCATTTAAAAAAATAAAATATATGCTGTAATAAAAAAATAATGTACATTACATATACTGTACATTACAAATACAAATAGTATAAAGCAAGATTATACATATTCCCTGTCATACAATTGCTAAAAAAATGTTATAGAGATCTGGGGAAAGTAATTCAGACTCTCTTGCACATCGATGCAGATCTGCAGATTCGCTGTCTATATACAGCTGCTTTCTGAGAGGATGAGAAAGGTGAAGCAGACTACCGGCGAGAGCTTCTCTGGTGAAAAAAAGCAGTCAAAGCTCCTCTACATCCCCTTCCGTGGAACAGAGGAAAGACGTCAGCGATCAACAAAAAACTGGCAAAGCGCCAAAAACATACATAAAGTCTCATTTGTACGTGTAAATCAACAACGGATTGAGTGTAAATGTAAAGTTTAAATGTACAATACTAGACTATATGCGTTTTGTTTCATACTATATTTTATGGAACTGTTCTAGTATTGTACTAGAAAAGGGTTTGTACTAGAAAAGTACTGTGCTATACTTGTGCTGTACTTTGATTGTACTAGAAAAGGTTTATTCCATGCTGAAAACAGAAGAAAGGAAACAACTTTTCGGTTGTGGAGCCTTCTTTGGGTGCCAGAGCAGAAATGTTGCGTTTCTTTTCTTTTTTTTCAGCATAGAATAAACCTTTACTTGTTCCTTTGCAGCCTACGCATGCTGACGCAGCTTCCTACTTGAACTAGTATTGTACTATGCTTAAAGGTGACACCCAAGAAAGCATTTACCGATAAGCTAAAATTACAATGTTGTGAACGTATCTCTATAGAAACCACGTTATAATGACCCGGGGCCGGCGTAATTTTTAATTTCTGACCCCTGGAACCAGCTGACAGCACGGAGGTACCATTGTACACTAGTCCCCAGGGATATGTACGTCTCTTGACAACGCTGACAGGCATACCTGCGGGGGGCCTGTGGGGGTGACAGGAGCCTCATCAATACCATGGCTCAGGCTGTGGATTCGCTTGGCTGTGGCAGCTCCAAACTCTTTCTCCAGTTCGGTCAGAGGAAACAGCTGCAGGTCCTCCAGGCTGCGGAGCCCCAGGGCTTGCAGCTTCTGAGCTGTCCGATACCCCACTCCTGCAATGCCAGGAGATGACAACAGTCACCTGCAGTCTCGCAGTGCTCTCCTCCTTTCCATCCCAAAAAAACAACAGAAAACAACAACAATCGCAGACAAGCTAAACCTATCGATCTGAATTAAGATGCTTGGATTCTTATTCTTGAATTGAGTGTGATGTGCATTCTGGTAGCAGTATGATTTCCGAATTGGGCTTGATGGGTCCACACACCAGTTTGGCTGGTAGTTACTTTTTGCAATACCAGCACAACCTTGATTACATTGATAATCAATGTAAGAGATGATTTCATTAAGGTATAGCTAAGTAGCAGGTTTGGAGTCATTGGTCTTCAAAATACTGGGATGAAATAAAACGTTAACCATGAAATTTAGGTCACACTTAGCATGAAGACACCACGTTACAATTTTGAAATTTAATTGATCTAGGTCAGAAGACAAACGAAAATATTTCATACAACCAAAAAATGGTGATCATGCTGAGCAAAGCAAGGCCATTTTTTAAATACGGACACACTAGGATGTTTAAAGAACCATTTTGCTAGTACATGGGTTCAACATCTTTCAACTGATCTAATCCTTCCTAGCCCCAGATACCAAGCTACTAGCATAAGAGCCCCAGAGAAACAGTGGGCCAACATATTAATTCCAGTGTTACCCAGGGTGGTTATAAAAATTTGGCAAGACTCATACAGGTGTGGTGCAGAAAAAGGGCAAAAGGTTTGCTTATTGTTTTAGTTGAAGTGGATCATATAAAGACAAAAAGTACAAAAAGCACTGTTTGTATACAGGGGTCCCTGATAAATGGTGGGGTTAGGGACCTGTGAGTAACAATGTTTTTTTGTAGAATTTTCCCACCAAAAGACAATGTAAATATGGAGGGATGGGGACAGTAAGAGTGAAAACCTTGCCCATGTGTTTTTAAAGAAGGAGGTTAATCCCATAAGGATCAATTGAGTTGGGCTATGGACCAGATTTAAGAGAGATTGAGAGATTTTTTTTTAAACTTTGCTCTTTACAGTATTTTTTTTTCCATTGCAAGAACAAAATAATCAACAAACCAGGTTGTTCCTCAAGGTCAAGTTCCTCAATTCCACAAAAGACATAAATGTGAAATGACACAAAGGGGGGTGACTTATAACAGGGATCATTTGTCCTAAACATTTTCTGTCCTTTAATTGAAACCTATTATTTTTGCTGTACATTAAAACACACTGAAGTTTCCATTTCTTACCAGGAACCTTGCTAAAATGGCCCAGGCTGCTCATCAAGTGTGACGTGCTTTCTGGCAGCAGTGTGGTTTGCTGGTTGGGCTTGAAGGTTCCACACACCAGTTTGGCCAGTAGTTTACTTGTTGCAATTCCAGCACAACCTGTAAGTCCCAGTTTGCCGTGAATGGCAAGTCTGACCTCTGCTGCAATCTGAGATCCTACAGCCAGCCTGATGTGGTCCTCTATGTTTGGGTTTAGAGCTAGACAAAAAAAACAGTGAGTCAGGCACCTATATTCTTTTCCTCTTACCATTGCAGACCATTCTTTCACTACACTTGCCAGAATACTGAGACACCATGTAATCCAGATGAAATATAATAATCAATGTAAGAGATGATTTCATGTATTCATTTGATGATATTAGAACAAAAAACATATACTTTTTTTGAACCTAGTGATATTGAGGGACCATCCAAGGCACCTAGTTTAAAGACTCATCTATTTAAGTGCATTTCAGAGTGTAAACGTCAGCAGCCAGTTACATAGTCCTTTGAGGTAATAACTATATGAAGTCTGCGACCCATCTCACCAAACTGTGTAAAAATCTGTGATGCCTTGCAAAGCCAATGCTGCAGCCTCATTGAATTTGTCTCTATTCTAGAGACGATCTGACTTTATTTTTTATCTTCAGCAAGTAAAATGCATGCACGGGCATCACACTGCAACCCAATGAGTACGGAACCATTTTCTTCTACACAGGCAGACAAAATGTTTCTCTAAACTTCTGAATTCATGCTGCTGCTGCTGTCGTCATTAGTTACAATGTCATTAAAGATGGGTTCTAGAGGCGTGCCTTGTGTTCCAAGGCCCTCACATTATCTCGACCACGCTTCACAGATGGGGTGGTATTCTATAGAGCATCTGCAGTTTATTTCTTTGTACTGTCACACTTTAACCTTACCATCATTTAGGTAATCTGGGTCCCTCATCTCCATTAAAAATTGTTCCAGAATTCTTCTGGCTCATCTTTGTACCTGAGAAAATGCTCAACTGGCTTTTTTTGTTCGTAGTGTTAAAGACAGGGTGGCATTTAAAAGTGCAGCTTTTGTAATTCTGCTGTCTATCTTCTGCTGACCGTGGCTTTTAATATGGTCACCCGTGGACCTTGTTGCTGGTGATTTTACTGACCGTTGTTTTCAAGTTTTGATTCACAGCTCTAATATTTATTGACATTAACAGCACATGCTTTTTCTTGGCTGACCCGGTCTTCCCTTTGTGTGTTGTGTATGTGGTAGACAAAGAACGTTTTTCTCAGTTCTACGTTTTTGAAAGCTCAGGTTCGAATTTCAAATAGCCAGAGCACGTGTGATTTTTCTGATCTGGTTTCTTAATTGGGGTGGCAGGGTGACATTGCTGCCTTGCGGCACTGGAGCCCTGGGATCAATTCCTATCTGTGTGGACTTGTAAATCCCCTGGATGCTCCAGTTTTTTTGCCACAGTCCAAAGACATATTAGTAGGTTAACTTCTGTCGGGTAAAAAAATTTGTGAGTGTACGTGCTTCTGTCTGATTGTTCCCTGATTGGTGTCCTGTCTTGGGTGTATCCCTCCTTGTGCCTGTTGCTTGCTGGATAGTCTCTAGCTCCCCTGCAATCCCGTACTGATAAAGAAAAATGGACGGGTGGTTTTTAAACAACCAAATCAGAAATATATGAGAATCTTTTTTGGCTCCAATCTAGCAACAAACACCTGTCTGTCAAAGAAGTTATTAAACTGTTAGCATAACTGGTGGCTACCACTTCTGAAGATGTCTGTCATTTGATATTATAGGAGATGTTCCTGTCAGTATGGAGGAATGTAGAAGTATTCTTGGGTTTTTGTCCTGCTTCACAAAGTGTTCACATGACCTATTATCAGCTGTTCAGCAAATTCTACTAACGTTATTCTTTGTTTGACCACAATTCAATGTGGAATGTTAAAGTTCATTCAATTAATTCTTTTCAGATTAGATTCCACAAATAATATTATTGAAAGTGGGAGGTATTTTTTAAAAATATAACTAGTCTTAACTTCAAGACTGTGGTATGCAAAGCCACAACAAACATCCTTGTAGACGGCATGGTGTCATAATAATCAGCTTGCTGGATAAAATGATGTTGAAGGTTATGTTGTTTACCAATCTACTTCAAATAAAATTAAAGACACACAAAATGTTTGATTTAAAGAACATAAATTATGATTCTGTACACCAATTAAAATACAAAAATCAATTGAGACATGCAGGATAGTCTGAAAAACGTTGACTTACGCTGTTTGTTGTATATGTTACCATTCACTGTCAAATCTGGAGATACGGATGCCTGTCTAAGTTTCTTCTCTACCACTTCTGTAATGTCCACAAAGTTTTCATCAAACCCAAGACGCTCCACTAATGAGCTATAGCCCTCCAACAGTTCTGAAGAAAAAAAGGAAAAAAAGTCCATAACATTTTAGATATCCTGGAAAAATTCAAGATAATTTAAGGAATCAAAGTTGACAGATGACATTTATTTATTTAAATCAAGTTGTGTGTGGTGTCTTAGTCTCTGATTCAGTTGAAGACAATCAAACATGTCAAAGATCTAAGGTAATGTTAATATATATGATTTTTTAATAAAAATACACTCAAAACAAACAGTATGTTCTAATTGCTCTGCAAATTTAAGCCAATAACAACTTTTTTTATTATACTTAAGCAACCAGACTTTATAAGGCTAACTGGACCTACAAAGGTAAGGATACCGATATAGTAGTGTATAATTAGTACAACTACATAACCAACAGACTTAGAGATTGCTGCCTTAGCACTTAAACACTAACTTCACTTGAATTGTGTCCTGACAGGACAGGAGGGTTTTGTGTTATGAAAGGGAATCTGAGCAAAACACTTGACCTTCCTTAATCTGAATAAAAAGCATCTTTCAAGCATGAATAAAAAGATAGTGCCACTTCAGTGCACTTAACTTTTTTCATTTGAGCTCGTCTGTCTTGTGCTGACTTGGTAAATTCAGGATTCTCCGAAGAGGAATTTCAGCATAAGAATCTGAATTGTAATTGTACGAAGAATTCAAGTATTTGCTGGAAATCACAGGTAACAACAAATACTTCCCTAAATCAGTAAGCCAGAAAATCAGAAGCCACTATGACTTCTGGAGGCTTCAATACACCCATTAAAAGAATAAACACATCATCAAATAGCATCAGACTGTAATAATGGAACTCATTAGTAATGAGTATAAATAGTAATTTAAATGACTATGAAGGGTTGTCCACAAATTTTTAAACACGAGTATTGTATTTTGCTTTTAGTTTAATTTTTATTTACTATAAAATCTCAGAAAAGATTGGATCACTTTTTTATGCATTTCCTAATATTATAACTCTCTCCTGCACTGATATTGATATTGTAAGTACGTTTTTCTCAGTCAGTTGCAACATGTCCCAAACTCTGCAGACTGACTTCATACCAACCCTTGGCAGCATACCACTCCTGTACTTAAGTCTCTACACTGGCTGACTATATGGACAC